GTTTATTACTTGCTTTATAGCATTTACTTAGTTAAAATGTCTTGCTCTTGTCTTCCTCTAGTAAATAGTGCTAGGAAGAGTATAGTAATAGTAATAGACATAGTAATAGACACTGCTAATGCATTTTAGCTCTCTCTAGAAAAACTCCACGTAAAGCTTCTTACAAGGCGCCTTAAAAAGCTCCCTGCCCTGCTCCTAGGCTAGATAAAGGATAGAAGAGTTAGAAAACTCTTTACTAGAAGCATAGTAATCTACCGCCCTTACAGCAAATTACTTATAGGAAAGGAAGCGCCTGTGTTTTATTATAAAAGAGGACTAGTAAGGGTTAGAAGCTTTAGAAGAATAAGTGTATGTTAAATTCTATTCCTATGTACCTTATCTTATACTAATTATAGGTAGTGGCAACGCTTTAATAAATTAAGTATTACTAGTTAGCTAAGTAGGATACTTGCTTTTTTTTTGCTGTTAATCTCTTTTATTGTCTAGTTTATAAAATTACTTAGAATGTTAGTTGCAACAACTCTGTTACTTTCTAGTAGAGCGCTTAGGCACTCTGTGCATTGCAAATAACTACTAAGTCCTTTATTATAACTCTAATAGAGTGTAGGTGTTAATAGGTTAGTATTAGACAAAGTATTAGACTAATAGGGTTATAAGTACACAATAGGCTGCTATTTATAGCAAACGTATTACTATCTAGGCTTAAGATGTTAAATTTGTTATCTATATTGCTTAGGACTTTAGATAGTACTATAATTTTGCAAATAATTATTTAGATAAAAAGAAGTAGGGTCTCTTCTAGTCTATAGCGTTTATTAGTAGTATAGGCATCTACCTAGTTAGGCTAGTGCTTAGAATAATTCACTTTTTAAGGGTTTTTAGGCTGCAGATAGCTCTAGTCTGTCTGCTACACTTACAGCCTTCTTACTAAGGCCACTTATAATATAAAATAATTTCCTGCGAAGGGTTTTTAAGCGTGAAATAACAGCGTACTTAAAGCAAGCTCTGCTTTTACAGATTATTTATAAACTGTTGTAGTATTTTAAGTTTGCAGGCTTGCAGGTTATGTAGGCTAAGTAAGCATGTAAACATGCAAGCATGCAAGGCATATAAACCCTATGTATATAGTCTTAATTATAACTATAGTTAGAAGGTTGTAATTACTATTTAGTTTTTACTTACTTAATAGACTAAGAGGCATTAAAACTTTTATAAAGAGGACATTACTGCCTTATATATTTTACACTATATATACCTCTATTCCTATCCTTACAGATTAGGTTTGCTAGCTCCCTATACAGCTACTAGGTTAAACCACAACCTGCCTTCTTCACCACGCCTATCCTACACTCTGCTCGACAGACTGTACACCTGATCTAGCTAAGTTCTATCCCCTTCTCGCTAACATTCCTATAGGCTGTTGTACTCCTGAAAATACTATTTCGCTAGAGTAAGAATTGTAACATGTATAAGGTTTTTAGCTTAGCGCCTATTTACTTTTTTTTAAAAGAGTAAAACAACCTATATTAAGTAGCTATAAAAGGTATAATAAGTAAAAAAGCATATAAATAGTAATAATCTTATTATTTTTATAGTATTACTAAAAATAAAAAAGCTATAGCTTTTATAGCTATAAATAACTAGCAGACAGTAGCTGCTAATAGTACACTTCTTTATATGCATATTAAAGTGCTTTAACTAGTCTAGACTAAGCTAATTAGTAGTCTAACTACACTTAAAAACTATAATAACTTAATTTTAAAGTAGGTGTTTTTTCTTATCCTAGTTTAAAAAGTAATTACTACTCTAAAAAATAATAAAAAGTAAAATAGCCTACTTTTTAGCATTAATGCTTTAGATAGCTATTATCTACTTTTAGTTACTTAGTTAGACTGCTTTTAGCTATCTTTATCTTTTTAAACTTTTAATAACTACTTTAGTAGATATTTAGCCTATTATAAACCTTATTTTATTAAAGTTATACATGTTATTATTTTATATACTATACTTAGCTTTAATATTCTTTATAAAGTTAAACTAGCTTTAAATTACTGTAAAACTTTATAAAAAGCTTTTTTATAGTTATAGTTATACTTAAACTTTACTATAAGCTTTAGATAACACTAAATAAACATACTAAGCTAGTTTATACTAATATAGCCTATATTATGCTTAGCATGTAAAGAATTAGCTATATTAGCTATAGCTACTAGCTAGAGGGGAAATCCTTACACATCTAGCTTAAGTATGTGCTTAATAATTACCTACTCTTTAGTATTATTTTGCATTTATAATTTAGCTATATAATTAGCTTAAAAGGTTTATTTAGTGCATTAGTTACTTATTATTCTTTTAAAAGACTTTATAAATAGCTATAGCATATTACTTAAAAAGTATTATGTTTTATTTAAAAGCCTAAAGTGTAAGCTATATCTAACATTCTTTTAACATGTCTAAGTAGTGTTGTTAGGAATGCATTAGTATAAAAAAGTAGTGTAGTATAGTCTTAGCAAAAGTAAACAACTTAAGTGTGTAAGTAACTTGCCTATAGTGTACGTTAGCTGTAGTATATTACTTTAAAAATGTTATATTTTATTTAAAAGCTTAAATTATACGCTATATCTTACATTCTTTTAGCACATTTAAGTAGTGTTATTAGGAATGCATTAGTGTAAAAAAAGTAGTTTAGTAGAGTCTTAGCAAAAGTAAGTAACTTAGGTGTGTAAGCAACTTGCTTGTAGTGTACATGTCACGGTTAACTTGGACATGCCTCGGACTCTCCCCGGAGAGCCCTCGGCCCGGCCTTGGGCACATGACGTCCCGTCACGTGCCCCAGCACATATATATATATCCTCTCACGAACCCCTGAGTCTCCTCAAGGATTCGAATTGTGAGAGCACTGTGAAGCAGGAAGCATGAAGCGCAGAAGGGGGTACAGGATAGTATTGATAGACGAATCCTTGAGGAGACTCAGGGGTTCGTGAGAGGATATATATATATATGTGCTGGGGCACGTGACGGGACGTCATGTGCCCAAGGCCGGGCCGAGGGCTCTCCGGGGAGAGTCCGAGGCATGTCCAAGTTAACCGTGACAGTACATTAGCATATTACTTTAAAAGTGTTACATTTTATTTAAAAGCCCTAAGTGTAAGCTATATCTAACATTCTTTTAGCACGTTTAAGTAGTGTTGTTAGGAATGCATTAGTGTAGAAATAGTAGTATAGTAGAGTCTTAGCAAAAGTAAGCAACTTAGATGTGTAAGCAATTCGCCTGTAGTGTACGTTATATAAAGATAGAATAGTAGGTAGCATAGATAGCACTAAGAGCAAAGTCTTAGAGAAATAGAAGTGTATTGTAAAAGAGAGGCGACTTGCTGCCAAGCGTCGCTTGTTAGGATTTGTGCTTATATACAAAGCATACGTCATGCGACCTCCAAACAGTTCAGGTGAGGCCATACTAGCCTGTTCTAAGACATCTAGTGTGAGAGGTATCGAGCAGGAAACACAGGTCACAGAGAGGGAATGCAGGATAGGGGGGTAACGAGAGAGAGGAAACCTTAGGGTCGGAGGCAGAGGTACGGAGGCTGAGGAGCCTATATACCCCGTGCCAAGCCTAAGGTACTCAGGGGTTGGATAGCTGTAACATAACCGTGACATCTAGCCTTACATACTATATATTAAAAGAAGCTTTTCTACTAGTAATTAAAGTGTTTATAATAAAGTGTTTTTAAAGAAGAATATCTAAGCAAGTGTTAGAGCAGCTAGCTTAGTTTTATGTAACCTAGATGCAGTGTTATTAAAGCTTGATGTAAAGCTACGTATACTAACTATCAAGACAGGCTCAGTACCACTCCGCCAAGACAACTAAAAAGGTGGGAGTAATCGACTAACAGTTAATTCTACGTACAGAACAGTATATATATCTGTTGTGCGTAAGGGCCATCTCGGCCTTACAATAACCCCACTACTGCTAGATGCTATTGTATAGAATGTAAAATCACAGTGCAACATCTATAAAATTAAAGCCTAGACCACACTTATTTAAAAGAGATGTAAAAGCTCTAAAGGTTTTTAGTAAGTTCTATTAATAAGTAGGTAAGGCAGTTAAGTAAAGGCGTACAGCAGATAGCATATAGAATAGCGTTAATTGTAAGGCCGAGATGGTCCTTACGCGCGACAGGTATATATCACTATTCTGTGCGCAGAATTAGTTGTTGGTTGATTATTCGCACCTTTTTAGTTGTATTGGCGCAGTGGTATAGAGCCCCGTCCTTACATTAACACAGCATTATATCTAACCCTACAATAGGAAATGCACGCTGGGACAAAGAAGGTTATCCGCCAAGTGGCTTAACAATATAATAAGGATCCTTAGGACTTCTATTTGTACCATCTCTCTTCTTTCCAGTCGTATCATCTTATATTTATTGTTTTTCTCTCCCTATCTTCTGTGCTTCACCCTCTAGCGTCCAGCCCTCCTATTTTGAATATTAGCCCACTAATATTGCAAACCGTGGTTCCAAAGACTCTGTTTGATCTTTAAGGCCTGTCTCTTAGGCTTCACCTCACCTCACCTTTAAAACCAAGGCCCCTACCATCACCTTCTCAAGCCTTTCAGTCCTCTCCTGAACCAAGTATCTCGCCTTCCACGCCCCACCCAATAGCTCAAACGTCCACAATAAACCTCTATTCAAACACGCGAGCAAGCTCAAGGCAACCCCGATCACAAGTGGAGAACATGTATATTTCACATTCCAGCCGAACTTCGGCTATCTACTCTTGAGCTAAATTAAGCCAGGAAGCGATGTTGTTACGTATACAGCCTGGGACGTTGTATCATCAAACCATATCCATCCGGCCTCCAAGACGCCATTTCGTTTCCCACCCACGATCGCGGTGCACATCATCGCCACCTGCAATTGAGCGTAGAGTTCGGTTCGTGCCCAGCCAAACACAACACGGATATCAATAAAGAAACACAACGAATCGGCCCTCATCTCCCAACCATCTAACCTTACTTCACCCAATCCTAAAACTCCCCACCTCCGCCCCCCAGGGCAGCGGCACCCCAAACGCCCACGAGACCCCAAAACCCCACTCTCCACCCCCTCCACAACCCATACACACCCTGCCCCTTCCTAACGCGCTGCCTCGCCGAAAATCCCGGCGTTTTCGCAGGCGTCTGTATCTTCTTCTCCGTCGAATTCGCCGTTGCCGTTCCGGCGGGAGGCCCAATAATTTGCACGCCCTCCTCGCGGACAATAAACCACATAGTCCCCACCACGCCCTTATATGGGCCCGGCTCCACAATCGTTTTAAAATTCCGAATGAGGGGGTCCTCGTTCTCCATGCCAAACACTGGTGTGCGAACGGAGCGGGCGTTGACATCGCGGAAGGAGTCTGATAAGCGGAGGTTTTCGTGTTCTTGGAGGACGGCGACTTGACCTCTTCGGAGGACGGTCTCGAGGGGCAGGCGCAAGAAGAGCTCGATGGCTGAGGAGAGGAAGGTGGATATGGAGTACATGGATGGAGTGATTACGGGGTCGATTGAGAAGGTGGAGCGGAGGATCAGGGGGGTGGAAGTGGATATGAGGGTTGGGAGGGTGGAGTGGAGGAGGGTCACTGGGAAGAGGGTTGGTGGGAGAGAGAGGGATGGAAGGAGCGAGAGGGAGGGGTATATTGTTCGTGGGGGGGCCGTGGTGGGGGTGACGATTAGTCGCGTGCGGATGATGTCGAGGGGGGAGAGAGCGATGGCGGCGATAGCGGCAGCGACAACGGCGACAGAGAGGGAGAGGAGCGGGTGAGGGCTGTCTATTATGTCGAGCCCGCCAAAACCGCTCACGGATGCACCCATAAGTCCTGGGTCGGGTACGTTGAGTAGTGCAGAGAGCATGCTTCGTGTCCAGCTTTCTGTGGTTTTGAGGAGGAAGTTGTACACGAATGTCACATTGGTGCCTTTCCAGACACCCCATGCTGACTCCTTTTGCCAGAGCTGTGAGATGACTTCAAGCAGGGCGTCTGATTTCCGTAGTTCGAGGGCGCGGAGTGCGGGGGGAGGGGCTTGTGTCGGGGTGGAGGAATTTGATCGGCTGGGGGCATGGCGGGGACGGCGTTCGGGACCGCGGGAAGTAGAGGGCGAGGGCGACGATGGCGTGAATGGGGTCATCGGAGCGCGAGGGGCGGTAGATGTGAAGTATCCGGGGGAGTCGGAATCGGAGTCATCGGAGGGGTACTGCGGACATCAGTTAGCATCCGCGATTCTTTCAAGCATCTTTCCCCACATTACTACGATGAACTCACATCTTCGAACTTCCCACTCGCAAACGAATTCGGCCTACTACTCCTTGGCTCATCCGCGTTGATCTTCAGCCCTAGCGGCGCCTGCCCTCCGGCATGGTGGACCTGCAGCAACGTCTTTGCGACCTCGAACGGCTGGGCCAATAACACCGACGTGTAATTCCAAAGGGCCTGGTCCACGAATCTCTTTGCATGCTCGGCCAAGGTGGGATTGCTGTCCGGGAAGTACGAGTCGTAGTCGAGATCGGACAGAATATCGCGTGCCTGGCTGCCAAAGCTCGGTTTCGGCGAGCGGGAGGAGGAATGTGAATAGTATGGAGTGGAGTGATTGGCTGGTGCGTCAGGCGGGAGGCCAATGGAGGGTGGGATGTAGTAGGGGCGCAGCGGGTTGGGAGCGTCGCGCGAGGTCGCCATGGTGGGCGAGGGCGAGGGAAAATAGGAGACTTGGGTGGTGTTGGTGTTGTTGTCGCGGCAGGATTAGGTTTTGTCGGTGAGGGCTGGCCCATGGTTTTCTTCCAAGGTGTGCAGGGCAGGCTTGAACCTTCGTCCGGGGTGGCTTGCAGCCTGGTCCGAGCTTCGAGCACTTGTAACCCTGCGGAAATATCGGCCACGAACCTGTGGCCCAGCAGACTTTCCATCCTCACTGCTGCGGAGGCGTTGAAGGCGATCAATTATGACGGGCGCAGCGTCTTTGGAAAAGCTGCTGTTCCATGCGATTCGTTCTTCGCCCCGGCTTCCACTTACGTCATTGAGAGGCTCTTCACGGATCCGCCGTGTCCACTCCACCACAGGCAATTGCGCGCCGAGCACATCTTTGAGCATTCGCTGGACGGCATGTAGGCAGGGGCGCCTCTCGCAGGCCCGTTCCTGCTTTCCTTCCTCCCAGCCCCCTGCCCTCGTCCACAGCCGGAGGACATTTTCTTCGTCGCCTGTCCCGCTCCACGGCCATCTGACCCCTCCAAAGCCCGGCCAAGAGTGAGTCGCAACCCCCCACAATCCCCCCCCTGAGATGGCTTTCCAACCCTCCCTATAGACGCAAGGTCACCTTCATAGACAAAGAAGGCCAGTCGCACACGCTTGAAGTTTCTGACGGCGACAACCTCCTCGACATCGCACAAGCAAACGACCTGGAAATGGAAGGTGCGTGTGGCGGTTCCTGTGCCTGCTCCACCTGCCACGTTATAGTTGAATCCGATCACTATGACCTCATGACCGAGCCCGACGACGATGAGAATGACATGCTCGATTTGGCTTTTGGGTTGACTGAGACGAGTAGATTAGGGTGTCAGGTGAAAATGGCGAAGGAGTTGGACGGCTTGGTCGTACGGCTGCCGAGCATGACCAGGAATATGCAAGCTAGTGACTTTGAGAGCAAATGAGGGTAAGCGTGTTGATGTTGTTTAACGCCGGGTGCATGCTGAGAACGATGAAGTGCGAACATCTCAATGCTGTTTCGGTGGCATTTTGTATGATATGGGACAATCTCCACGGAGGTGTGGGTCGGCGCAAAAACAGTTTTGGGTGTCATATAAGTAGATCTATGTGCTATGTATGTATGCATTGGCACCATGACTTTTGATCACCTTGATCCGGTGGCACTGCTTTCGAACAAGGCCTTGGAACAAACTAGGGCTACAGATCATGCCTCCACGCTCCCTTCTTGCTTCCCGCCGCCCGTAATCATATCCAAGAAGCCTTGCTTACTCATCTCCTTGACAGCCTCTTCCCTCTTGGCCATTCCCACCACGCCCTTCTGTCGCGCATCCTTCTCCGCTTGCTCTGCTTTGACCTGCGCGGCTCGTACCGCATTGAACAGCTTTATGACACCTTTCTGTGCAGTCCTACGCAACCGCTTCTCTTCCGCCACAATCTCTGCCGTGCTGACCTCTGCCTTGTCCAGGCCCAGCACATCCCTGACTCGTCCCTTTTCCTGTGCAGCCTTCTTGTCGGCGAGCAGCGTTCGGTGCGCCTTGACCGTTAACTTGTGGTCCGACAGCGTCTTGTTCGTTTCTTGGGCGGACTTAGATCGCGAGAGAATCGGCTCGGCGCGTTTTTGTGTGGTCAATTTGGTGCCTAGTATTTTGGATATGGAAGTCGCGAATGCTTCCGGGTCATTTCGTTTCCGAATTTTACGCTGATTGGTTGTCGACGTTTCCGATACCTCTGAACCTTCTGACGCTTCCGACACGTCTGTATCTGAGTCCTCAACTTGGTCTTCCTCCTGCTCGTCTTCATCTGCACTGTCCTCACTTAGTGCTCCCGCTTCGTCCTTCGGAACATGTCTAGAGGGTTTCTTCGTCCCTATCTCCGTCGCATTCGCCGAGGACTTTTCCAACGGCTGTGCAAGTCTCCTTGCCTCTTCATCACTGCCATCAAAGCTCACGGGCCCAACATCCTTTGGAGCGTCGGCGGCGCCTTCCTCGTCGTCGCTCGAGCTGTAATAGTGTCGCTGTCTCTTGATCTTCTTCTGCGGTTTCCGAATTTTGCCTCGCATTCCCTCCTCAGTCCATCGGCGTTTAAGAGCTGTAGACGGCATTGTGGGGAAACCTGTGGCAATTGGGTTGGAGGGTTGAAGTGAGTCGAGGGAAAAAGTTAGCGATATCGATCGGCGTAAATTTCACCGACACTGCCAAGGAATTCCGCCCCGCTCTCCATTGGTTTCCCTTCCCTCCCCCCCACAGTGGACAACTTCAACACCACCTCACCGCCACCAACGACCAACTTACGTACCCCGGATTTCCGCACAACCCCCGCCACCATGGTTCTCCAAGATCTCGGTCGGCGCATTAATGCTGCTGTATCGGACCTCACGAGGTCACCGAACCTCGATGAGAAGGTAATCACAGCTACAATTCCACATCACGGAAAAAACATGCAGCTAATCCCCCCAGGCATTCGATTCCATGGTCAAAGAAATCTCCAACGCCCTAGTCGAAGCAGACGTTAACGTAAAACTCGTCATGAACTTGCGTAACTCAATAAAGCGCGCTGTCGACTTCAAACATCTCTCACCTGGTGTGAACAAGAAGCGGATAATCCAGAAAGCTGTGTTTGACGAACTCGTCAGACTTGTAGATCCACACGCCGAGCCGTTTAAACCGCGGAAGAATAAGTCCAACGTTATCATGTTCGTCGGATTGCAGGGTTCTGGAAAAACTACCACCTGTACGAAGCTCGCACGCTGGTATTCTGCGCGTGGATTCAAGGCATGTCTGGTTTGCGCCGATACCTTCCGTGCCGGTGCCTTCGACCAGCTTAAACAAAACGCCACAAAAGCAAAGATCCCATACTACGGCAGCCACACGCAAACGGACCCCGTCATCGTCGCCCGTGAAGGCGTAGATAAGTTCAAAAAGGAGCGCTTCGAAATCATCATCGTCGACACCTCTGGCCGCCACAGACAGGAACAAGACCTCTTCGACGAAATGGTGCAAATCCAAGACGCCGTCCAACCTGACCAAACCATCATGGTCCTCGACGCAACCATCGGCCAACAAGCCGAAGCGCAATCCCGCGCTTTCAAAGAAGCTGCTGATTTCGGTGCTATTGTTATTACAAAAACCGACGGTGCGGCCGCGGGAGGTGGTGCGATTTCCGCAGTCGCAGCAACACATACGCCGATTGTATTCATTGGTACTGGCGAACACATGCTCGATCTCGAACGCTTCAGTCCACAACCTTTCGTCTCTAAGCTGCTTGGCATGGGTGATGTCGCGGGTCTTGTCGAACACGTGCAATCCCTGAAACTAGACCAAAAAGACACTATGAAACACATAGCCTCCGGCATCTTCACCATTAAAGATCTCCGCGACCAACTCTCCAATATCATGAAAATGGGCCCGTTGTCTAAAATGGCGGGTATGATCCCGGGGCTGTCCAACATGATGGGTGGTATGGACGACGAAGAAGGCGGCGCAAAGCTCAAACGGATGATTTATATCTGCGACAGTATGACGGAGAAAGAACTTGAGTCTGATGGGAAAATGTTCGTAGATCAGCCTACGCGGATGACGCGCGTAGCACGCGGCTCAGGGACTTCGGTCCGAGAAGTTGAGGAGCTGCTTACCCAGCATAGGATGATGGCGGGGATGGCCAAGAAAATGAAAGGCGGGATGGCGAATATGCAGAAAGCGCAGGGTGCAATGGGAGGCGGGAATAAACAGCAACAGCTTGCGGCTATGCAGAAGAGGATGCAGAGTATGGGCGGCGCGGGGGGAATGGGAGGAGGGATGCCGGATCTGGGTGCAATGATGAAGATGTTGGGGGGTGGTGGAAGAGGGGGAGGGGGGATGCCGGATATGTCGGCGCTTGGGGGTATGGGGGGCATGGATATGGCGAGTATGATGAAGATGATGGGGGGTGGGATGCCGCCGGGTGGGGGTGGAGGAAGGGGACGAAGGTAGTCGTGCAATATTGGGAGGCAGTGGTTGAATTGCATTGCATAGCCATGGCGTTTAGGGATTCGGAGGCTCATGATGGGATAGGATATAGACGGTTGGGTCTATCAAGTGTTAAATTCGGAGACGCTGAACTCGCAATGAAGCTTTGAGTGGTTGTCCTGTCCTTACGTTATTAAAATGCTGAAGGGGAACAGATTGCCAGTAGCTGGAGCCGCATTGAATCCCCCAGGGCATTGCCTACAAAGAAAGTATCCCTCAACCTTACAAAAATACCCACTAGATGCCTGTCCCGCGCCCCCGCGCTCCCTTTACCCCCTCTCCTTCACCCTTTCCCCTTCCTTCCTCCTTTCTCCTTCCCTTCCTATTCCCTCCTTCCCCCTTCCTTTCCAATTCCCTCCTTCCCTCAACCCACCCTTCCCCCCCAAACTTCCCCCAATCCCCCAACCCCCTAAATACCCCCTATATAACCCCATGTAATTTCCACAACTTTCAGGGAAGGTAGCAAAGCCACATACCTTGCAGCACCGGAATGATGAGCGCTCGGAAGCGACGCATCCTCCGTCCTTACCCTTTTGGTAATTGTTAGGCTAACCTGCTAGATCTTGGATTGTAAAGATAGAGGAGGGGGTTTGGAAGTTCGCTTCGGGTTTTGGGGCGAGGGAAGGTGAAGAGCGGGTGGGTGGGGGTAAAAAGAGATATTTGGTAGTGGATATTTGATTTCGATTTGGTTTCTGTGACCAGAGGTTGTTGGGTGCTGTAGGCCAGCTTGCCATATTACATTAGATAACATTCAGACAGACCGCTCGGCTTCATCTTCCATTGCGTCCATGCTCCAAGATGCTCGATCCGTTTCCATAATGCATGCTGCTCGATTTTCCTCCAACTTTTCCTCAACCCTATCCTTCCCCCAGCGATCACCATTCATATCCATTTCACAGCCTCACTCCTCTCCAACCCAATCATCTTGCCCGCATCCACCTCCCCATTCAACACCCCCGCTTTCTGCAGCACCCCGATCGTCCTCTCAACAATCTCCCTATCCACGCCCCTAACATCATGCGCAAAGCGCACCGTCTTAAGCCATTCCCTCGCATCCTGCTCCTCATAATCCAACTTCGTGCTAATATACCGTACCGCCTCTTCCCGATTCTCCTCAAAATGCTTAACGCCTTTATTGATCTTCCCCAGCACATCCTCCAACTCTTCTTTAAACGGCGGATGTGACGCCTGCGAACCGGAACTCCAGTTCTGCGGATTTAGGAGCGCGTTCGCTGCCACGATTTTCCAGCTCGACCACGGTGTATAGATCTCCCCAATCCTATTAATCTCGCCGTTATCGTAATACCGTTTTGACGTGAAATGCTCCCACATGAAGAAATCTGCACCCGCATCCGTCGTCCCGCCACCACCCGCACTATTCACGGCATCTCTTAATCCTTTAAATGTGTCCAACACCGAGACCGGAAACGGCGGGTCTGGGGATGATGGATCTAGCCAGCCGTTTTGGTCCGCGAGTACGTAGCTCATAACATAACTCCCACTTCCCACCCTCGACACCCCGACTCTCTTACCCTTTAGATCCGCAATGGTATGGAGGTCTGTGCGTTGGGCTCCGGTGGATATGGCCCAGCACAAGGGCGTCTCGACGTATGTACCTACGATCTTGAAACCTGCGTCTCTGGGGCTTGTTTTCGAGTTGGACGTGGATAGAGATTGCGCTTTTCCGAGCGCGGCGATCCAGCCTTCAGTTAATCCGATCCCGATGTCGATTTCACCAGATTGGAGGGCAGAGACCATGGCCCCAGTGCCGGAGGGGAAAGGGAGGAGAGGTGAGGTGAGGGCATAGTGCTTTTTGGCGAATTCTAGGGGGGTCGAGAAGTGTTCTGCGTGAAGTTAGTTGGATGCGCTCCAAGGCTGAGTTAGAGATGGTAAGCCGCACCAGGTACGAAACCTATCCGTAACGAAGACGCTGCGGCGCGGCCTGTGGAGAATGTTCGGAGGTATGTGGGAGTACGCGTTGGGCGCGATATCCGGAGTGTGTGTAGCAGCATTTCGCTAGCTGTTCGAACGCCGTTGCCGAAGTCAAATGTGAGTTCGCTTTGGATTGCAATGTCAGTGTGCGTCAGTCGCGAAAAAGACGCGCCAATTGCAGCGCACAACTTTGCTCAAGCAAGGTACTCACGTCGCAAACGTTATGTTTAGAGGGGTATCAATAGAAGAGAAGAGATGAAGTGAATGTCGGTGTTGGTGTCGTGGCGCAAGCTTGGAGCGCTGCGCCTCTGGCGTGATGTCAGAACGCTTGGACAAACTGGTTCCGAGCGGAAAGTCAGAGCGGAAAGGCGAGCCGTTCCGCTCCGATTTCCGGTCTTATCGAAATTTGTATGAAATGACACCATCATGTCACGCCTCACTTATTTTTCGATTCTGTCGATGAGACTTTCTTTTCTTATGGCTTATTTCTATTACCGCGTCTGTTGATACCCTATAGACCTCGTCCTCAAATCAGCGCATCTACCTCCATTGGGTGTGCGAAATCAACCATTTTCTATTACCAGCTTCCTGTCTTCCAGTATCGATACAATGAAGACCCTCCGAGCTAGAACAATCGCTATCATAGGTGCAGGCCCATCCGGCATAGTAGCCGCCAAGTAAACTCTACCTCCACTCCCATCTCCTAGAAGCATGACCTGATCATCACAGGTACTTCCGCGCCGAAAAAGCCTTCGATAAGATATGCATATTTGAGCAACGCAGTTCTGTAGGCGGCATTTGGAATTACACTCCCGAAGATCGAAACGAGGATATATTCACTGTCCCGCAGACCAATCCCAGGGGTGAGAACCAGGATCCGGTGTGGAGAGAAGCAAGCGCAACTTCAAATCTAGGCGACGGTCATGTGACGAGCAAGGTAAACGGCGCAGGTGGTGGGAAGGTGGCCTCGTTTTTATCACCTGTTTACGAAAGACTGGAAACAAATATTCCGAGAGGTCTTATGGGTTTTCAAGATCTGGATTGGCCGGCCGATAGCCAATTGTTTCCGAAACATGAGACTGTGTTGGAGTATATTGAGGAGTATGCGAGAGATATTCAAGATCTCATAAGCTACGAAACACAAGTCATCAACGTCGAGCCGGCAGATGAGGAATACGGCGGTAAATGGACTGTCAAGACTCGGTATCTTCCCTCGAACGAGGAGACTGAGGAAGTTTTCGACGCCGTGGTTGTAGCGAACGGGCACTTCATTGTGCCGTACATCCCTGATATTCCTGGGATAGCAGAGTGGCATAAGAGATTCCCCGGTTCTATCACGCATTCGAAATATTTCCGAACTCCAGAAGAATTCGCCGGGAAGAAAGTCATCGTAGTCGGCAACTCCGCCTCTGGCATCGACCTAAGCTCGCAAATAGCAGACTTATCTCAACTGCCCTTACTCTGGTCCAGCAAATCCACCTCAATGTTCAAACCCTCCTCCTCACCTCTCAAGCGCGAAGTCCCACCCATCGCCGAATTCTTCCCTAAAACCCAGGAAGTCGCATTCGAAGACGGAACAATAGCCTCAGACATCGACGCCGTCATTTTCGCAACCGGATACTTCTACTCCCTTCCATTTCTCGAAACTGTGAAGCCAGAGTTAATAGGCGATGGAAGCCACATACAACACACCTACCAACACCTGTTCTACGCCCCCCGCCCAACCCTCGCCTTCCTCACTCTCCCTCAACGCATCATCCCGTTTCCAATCGCTGAAGCCCAGTCTGCAGTCCTAGCACGCGTATTCTCTGACCGACTCTCCCTCCCCCCATATGCCAAAATGCAGAACTGGGAAGAGAGTGTTGTGGAGGAAATGGGCGATGGGCGAAACTTTCACATCCTAGCTTTTCCGAAAGATGGGAATTATGTCAATGAGCTAGCGAATTGGGCGTCGACGGCTACGCGGAGAGAGGGGTTGGAGAATGAGGGCAAGGGGAAGATGCCGCCGGTTTGGGGAGAGTGGGAGTTTTGGTGTCGCGGGAGGTTTCCGGAGATAAAGAAAGCATTTGGGGAGATGGGAGAGGAGAGGTGGAAAGTTAGGAGTATGGAAGAGTTGGGGTTTAGGTTTGAGGAGTGTTTGAGGAGTATTTGAGGGAGAAGGGGAGTGAAGAGGGGAAGTTGATATGAGGTATGTTTGCATGACTTTATCCATATTTACGCTACATTACCCCTGCCATGTTCCCTACTAGGTGATAGGAATCAGTACAAGTACAGCATGTCGAACTTTGCTGATTCTCCTTATACGTACCGCCAAGCGAACCTGGTATGTACCATTGGTGCTGTTCACACCACCCCGAGTAAGTTTCCTCTTCTCAGCTTTGCGAGTTGGGGGCGAGCAGGCTGGGTTGCACGACCATGCACGCTATAGTAACACGGAGATAAATTCTGTTTTGCTGGAGGGATGCAATGTCTTCGCCACAGCTGTGCATATTAGACCAGCCAATCGTGCATTCATTTGACAGCCACCAGTCATCTGCTCGGGGTTTGGAGCCTCTCCGAGAATCCCAAGAGCTAGTCCGGATCCCAGTATGATTGCAAATCCTTGAGCTGAAAAGGGCAGGAGAGGGGTTTGCTCTTCGCAGGCTTTGGGAGGGGGTTTGCTGTCAGCAGCAGGCTGAAACGCTCAGCGATTTCCCCCGCATTAGGCAGCTAATCCGGTCTAACCCATGTCTGGTGTGTTTTAAAGGCGTGCGAACTTCAGGTCTTATCAATAACTTCAGGCGAGTGCGCGATGTTTGAAACCCCCTTTCAGCACCCTTCTTCACGACATGCTTTTGCCGCTACTCTTAAACCTCTTTGCCAAAGTCTAGCATATTGATTGGTTAGATCAGACAGTTCTGTTTCTCCATCAAGTGAAGACGAGGGATGGTAAGTTTGTGACCTATTTCTTATTCTTGAGCTGTTGCTTGGCCACTGGCACCTAGCACTCACCTGACTAACCGCCGACAGGCAGCGGCGAAGCACTTCTTGAACGAGTTGGTTCCGGGGACTGACCCGCAGATTGAGTAGAGGCCACTATCCCACCACTGCTTCGTCACCATCTAACAAGTCGTAGTATTGTCGCAGTGCATGGCCTGAATCCGAAAAACAAAGACACACATGCGCTGAAAACCTGGACGGCCGGTGACAAGTTATGGCTGCGTGACTTCTTGGCCCCCAAATTGCCAAATGCGAGAATCCTGCTGTTCGGATACAACACGAATCTAGCACGTGACGCCAATCTAATGAGTATCGGTGAACACGCTGGGAATTTGTTGAATAAGCTAGCTCATAAAAGAAGCGAGCATCCGAAGAGGCCAATTATATTCATTGTCCATAGTTTGGGAGGACTTATCGTAAAACAGGTAGGCCACCATTATGGTGACCACTCCTTTCACTCTTCCGCTAACTTCGCTCGTCACCCAGGCGTTAGTTGAGGCAAAGATCAGTAATGATGCCCGATATACTGACACCCGCTCTTCGACATTCGGTATCGCCTTTTTTGCGACGCCTCACCTTAGCGGCAACTATGTCGCATTTGCAAATGTCGCATGCAAGATCGTTAACACAGTCCTTCGAAACCCGCCGAATACCCTGCTGGAAGACCTCAAGAAATCTTCGGCTTTCTGTCAGAAACTCAACGAAGAATTCCGCCACCAACTTGAGGATTACTATTTCGTAAACTTTTACGAGACACAACTCCAGCGAGGAGCAGATGTGGTAAGTTCAGATGTGTCGAAGGTATTGCGATGGCACTAACTCCGCACATATCGTGGACAGATACTCCGCGCAGCTGCATCTTGCGGGCTCCCGAGAAGTCCTCGTGCCAATGGATGCGGACCATCTCAGCATCTGCAAGTTCCCTACGGAAAATTACAACTATGAACAAGTTGAGCATGAGATCCTACGGCTAGTCAGAGACGCCTTGAAGTCTGTCGAGGATAAACGACGGTCTTCTACTACGTCACGTATTAGCAGCTATTCAACACCACGTATGGGCAGCTATTCAACGCCACGTATGAGCACCTATTCAACCCCGCGTATTGGCAATATTTCAACACCTCGTATCGGAAGTTATTCAACACCAGGCTCGGAACAGCAATTTCCCTTCTCCTCGCAGGGCGAGGATGGCGATTTCGGACCAAACATTGCTTCACTATGTAAGTAGGTAGGATATGATGTACTCCATGGAGAGACTGCTAATGACCTTCCCTCAAATGTTGCAGTCGAAGTACCGTATGACGAGAACCCAGACTTTGTGGGGCGGCAGAAGATCGTGAAGAGGATGATTGAAAATCTCACTTCGGATGATGAGAAGAAGCATCGAGTCGCCCTCTATGGTCTTGGTGGAGTAGGGTACGCTTCCTTGCACGTGGCGGTCATACCAGTAAGGTGAGCTAATTGTGCCAGAAAAACTGCAATCGCCATCCAGTGCGTGTATACCATCAGCAGATCTCACCCCGACATCGCCATTCTGTGGATAGATGCGAGTAGTGTTGAGAATTTCCACAATTCTATTGTCACCGTTGCCAGAGCTCTCGACATTCCAGAAGCGGATTCTTCTACGGCTGATGTTCTATCATTGGTTCGGAATGCCCTACGGAATGGAGCTTGTGGGAAATGGTTGGTCATCGTCGATCACTGGGACGACTTCCAGACATTTGCTAACACAGACGGTGATCATGCCATCCCCAACCACTTCCAATCCAGAAAACTTCTAGATTTCTTGCCCCACTGTGCTCATGGTTCAGTTGTTTTAACCACTCGAAATAGGAAAGTCGCCAATAAGGTCACAGGAGGAAGATTATTAGAACAAGTCCTCCAGCTGAGTAGAACAGAGTCCGAAGATCTCGCACACAAGAAACTATTGGAGAAACGTCACAGCAATGATGAAGTCCGGGAGTTGGTTGAAGCTCTAGACCATTTTCCACTCGCGATTATACAAGCGACGTCATTCATCAGGGGCAATGACATGGATGTCCAAACCTATCTCCAGCGCTATCGAGAGAGCAAGAACGATGCCCTGGAACTCTTTGGACATAGTACACCAGATGGGGGTGGTGAACTGGGTGTTGAAAACCCGGTAACAACCACATGGATGATGTCCTTCCAACAGGTGCAACACAATAATCCATACGCCACAGATCTTCTCTCCCTCATGGCTTTTCTCGACCACAGCGATATTCCTGAGAAGCTTCTCTGGCAACAGGATGAGAATCCCGGATTCAAATTCGAAGGTGCATGTGGGGAGCTGAAAGCATATTCGTTCATCTCTGAAGCATATCCCATTGGCTCTCCTGCAGAATCGCAGCCACGAGAGAAACCATTACGGCTGTTCAATATCCAACCTACTGTGCAGCGTGTCCTGCGCCTATGGCTTCGAGAGCACGGCAAATCTCAACAATGGTCTGAAAGCGCTCTCATTGCTGTTTCCAAGGAGTTCCCACCTCCAGAAAGTTGGAACGAACATTGGAAGACCTGTGTAATATACCTGCCCCATGTCGAGGCAATCCTGGAGCACCTCCCGGAGTCTACTACTGAGGAGAGACACAAGAGCAATCTTCTACTTAGTGTAGCCTCATATCTTCGCATTCGCGGATTCCATGAAGCAGCGGAGCGCATGGGGCGCGAGGCATTGAAAATTCACAGAAAGATGCTTGGAGACGATTCCGAGGCAACGATTGCACTACTGGCTAGCATGCATTGCCTATCTCGCATCCTTTTTGAGCAAGGACGAATACAAGAGTCAGAGGAATTACAAATTCCAGCTCTAGAGATCTGCGAGCAGAAACTCGGAGCGACTCATAGAGATACTCTCCGAGCACGTCTGCATCTCGCCGCTATACGAGGCATTCAGGGCCAGTACAAGGAGGCCTTGGAACTCCAGCAGAATATCTTTGAAATAACCGAATCGACTCTAGGCCAGTGCCCGGAGACATGGCTCGTGATGCGCGACTTGGCAATCACATGTATGTATCTCAATCGCCAGAGTGAAGCCGAATCATTGCAGCGAATGGTTTTTCGAGCCCGGGAGAATCTGCTCCAAAAAGATCATCCCGACACCCTAACCATAATGAGCGACCTCGCCTCTACTCTTATCGAACAGGCATGCTTCGATGAGGCCAAGGAATTGCTCGTCGATGTTGTGACCCACAGCAAGAGGGTACTAGGAGAGCGACATCCTCACACATTGGGTGCATATGAGGAGCTCAAGTTCGTTCTCAAAAGCCAAAGACGTACAAAGGATGTTGCACGATTAGAGCGGCTTCTAGGTCGCTTTCAACGCGAGTGGAAGGACGGTTCAGAATGTGGCGCGGGTGGAAAGAAACCTAGGATTAGAGGGAATATGAGTAGTTCGATCGTCACGTATGCCTACAAGAGGAAAGCTGTGGTATCAGATGAGGAGATAGTAGAATATTATGGTGGGGAGGGGGAAAAAGAGTTCGAGGCTGGGGATATAGGACTCGGTCTGACACTTTTAAACTCAGGACATGGCACTATGAACGACGGAGAGAGCGAGGACGAGGAGGACGAGGAGGACGAGGAAGATGGGCCAGGCCAAGAATTCGCGACCGTCAAGAACGCCCTCCGGCTAATGGTTGATGGCATCTTGCGACTACCTATGATTAACATTGCCAGGTGCACTCCGGATACACTGATAGAGGACGAAGCAGACAATACCATTGAAGCTCCCCAAACGACGGACACGCGTAAAGTAGCACATTCTCATCAAGACACGACTGGAAAAGCCCCCGATGGACTGTTGCATAGTCCTTCCGACCATGAGCAGATGCAACCCTTGCTCCAGGATCCTGCCCCAAACACTACATATAGCAATATCAAGCTCATTAGAACAATCGAGAAGAAGGTCCAGCGTAATTTGAACCGAGAGACTGGAGAAGCACTGCTTAAAGATGGCAAGGAACTGCTTGAGGTTACAAAGACAAAGTGGAAAACGACGAATCTAAAGGATTTGAAAGATTTGAAGGATTTGAGGGTTCCTTGGGGAGCGGCACTGAAATCGAAGTCAAGGGCAAAAGGTGGCGGAGGTGATAAAAAAGATGGAGAAGGTGAAGGACAGGAAGAAGACATCGGAAAGGAAGAGGCCATTGGAAAGGAAGAGGCCGCGGTAGAAGCGGACGTTGAGAAGAGTTAGCATCGAAAAGTACACTTAGACGCAGGCCACTATTGAGAGGAAAGGGGAGCAAAAGAATGACCTTTGCTTTGGTGGCACATAATTCCCCGCATTAAAAAGATCCGTAACTCCTCGGATCACAGAGTAGAAGCCTCTAGTGGCCACATGTTTACTAGACATCCATGCACCACACTGGAAGTCTATGCCTGGATCACAGTTTGGGATTGCCATGATCCAGGATGTCGAACGTACTACAGTCATTTACCTCTTCATGCTGATGAGGGCAGTCGCTGCTTCATTTTGCTTTTTAGCGATGGAGGAGGTGCTCGGATAGGGTAGGGGAAGCTTCTACGGTTGCCAAGTGGTGAGGACACTATGCTTGAGGGGAGCAGAAGGACGCTTGACCAGCTCTTCGTCTATGAGAGACAATCGATTCTAGAGCTACAGTTTCTGTCAATTTACCAATTTCTAGCGTTCCGGCAGATAATCAGTAACAGGTGGAGGAAAGATCTTGTATGGCAAACGGTCACACTCTTCACTCAACACCTATACATACTACTGCAAACTAAGTTTTTTTGCATTTACAAAGTGGTTCTTAACCCTCAGACCGCGCGGTCGCTAAAATTCTGCATATATACAGTAAGGCGGGTCGCTTCGTACTGCAACACGTCCATCAAAATGCTCCACTTATCTGTAGTAAGCCAAACCATCGGCCGCATCTGCACCCGAAACTTGCTCATCTTCCTGTTCCTGCCTGAAGGTGCCGCTGCCCCTGCTGCTATCAAAGCCCTAGGAGATGGACTCAAGCCACAGTATCCGAATTTCCTTCCCTACCCGACACGATGAACTTCCTTGATCCTAAAACTCCCACTGCCGTTCTTCCTGAAGGCCTCTTTTCTTACACCTTTGATCAAATTCACAACCTGAGTTACTAATTCATACTTCGTACCAACACATCCCCAACACATGCCCCTCCCAAATTCTCAACCTCTTTAAAATCCACCCCACTCTTCTAAATATAGCTGAAGCAGAAGTTAGCTCTGTATTAGTTTTCCATACACATGAACTACTTCCAAATCAAAATCGCTTTTGCATTTCATTGAAAGCCAAGACTCTTGTACAGCCAACCTTTAGCATCCTTCTCTATTGTCTCCTAAATCACCTCAACCTAATCCACCTCCTCCCCTACATCCATAATATGAAGCCGGAGCAAAACGTCAACCTTTTGCTCGTGGGAATTGTACTGCTTATACATAACCTGCCTACTCCCCCCACGGGAGATGCATTTAAAAGCACCGACCGCTGTTCTACGGCGACTTTATGGCTAGACTAGTCTCCACTAAGTGTACATCATCTTGACAATGAAAAGAAATAAGCTATATAGCTGTAACTCTACTGCTATAGTTAAAACGTATACCTGCTTTTCCTTCGCAGATAGTATTACCTAGATACTTAAACTATCTACTACATCTGGTTGTCCTTCCTAATCAAAGAGCCTCTACTGCTCCTTACTACATTGTTAGAGCGTACCCAAGTAATACAATCACTTAAATCACACCCCTGTTGTCATATAAACAGACTGTATACCTGATCGGCACTTAGGATACTGCTTACACCCTCCACCACCCACTTCTCTCACATGATCAATAGTGACCGGTACTACACTTGAAGTATTAAGTGAAAGTGAGATAGCATCAACATAGAGTAAGATATTCCTTAAAAAGCGCTATTATTCTTGCATTAGAAACTACAAGAGGGCACGGTCAAATTAGTTTTACCTTAGCTGGTTTGCGCATTGTGGATAGGGTCTTTTGCGATGAAGATCGTGGACTTTGGTGGGGTGTACATACACATGGAACGTCTTGCATGAGCTGAGGAGGGGACATATGGCAAACGACTCGACAAGGGAGCGAGATCCAAACAAGGTGGAATGAGTGTATTGTAAGGTCTGAGGAGCTCGATAGAGCTCTGAGCTGACTATATACTGTACGAGATAGGAGCTATGCCTAATGAGTGAATAGTGCAGTACATGGGTATGATATCGCGTGAGACACGTGCGACAGAACGCATGACCTATTTAAATATATAGCGGGGTCTTTCGCTGCGCCTCCCTCCCGTTCAATCAACCAACTTCTCCCTCACCTGTTTGATAGAAGTTGCAGCCCCACGTTCTTCATGCACGTTGAACTGTATCCACACATCGGCACAATGCAACAGAGTGTTTATGCAAGATTCATCCCTAAATGGAAGCTTATCGAACTGTTAGAGCGGCTTTTTGTACCAGAGGCCTGGAGCAGCGATGAAAGTGCTTTACGCATCTGCACAACGCAGTGCCTTCACTAAGACATGCTAGAGTGATGAGGTTTGTAATAGGTCTTAGATGTGTCACGAAAGCTGACCAATGGATTCGTCTCCATAATTTTACGAACGCAGTGGTTTACTAAGTAACCTAAGGGACGAGGCCGACATGTGCAGGGCGATGACCTTACCCTTCAGTTTATTGTCCCTGGACCTACTGTGCCTAACGGCAGGTAATTAAAGGACATGAATGGTAAAAGGAAGTCATCCAGGTATCAGTGGTCGAGCACTGTGGTTGTTGGGTCTGGGTACTCTAACGCTTTGACCGAGTATAGCCAGTTCGAAGACATGGCTACATATTCAATTCCATCGATCTGACACGCCCGCATTCTTTCTCGGTGAATAATTGCTTGCAACAATCCCCCTGTGGCGTTGGTGCATAATCCGGAATCATCTCAGAGGATTCTCCCAAGCGGCGAGGTCTTTCGTGCCTTGCTGGGCGTGCGCCATGCCACATATTTGATAATTAGTCGAGCCATAATTAAGTTTGCTACCCGTGTACAATAATAGGAGTCTAAAATACGTACAGTCAAATGAATTGTATTCGCGGACTGCCCACGCTGCGAAGACCAGATGCACCCTTCACCTGTTATTCCTCCTGCGTCCTCCTACGTTTGGCTCACGACAATTCACAAAGATGACTGCTTCATAGCTATCTTGTGTCTCAAGGTATTTACTTATACCCGCGATAGTCTTTCCTAGAATCTAATTATTACAGCATCTTTAAGCGCACGGTTTGATCCACGATGCTACACCGACACCTCTTCGCTGCCCTCGCCCTCGCTTCAAGCGTATCCTGCGACAACATTCAGATCACGCTTTGGCGGAGCGGAGACTACACTAGCAATAATACCCTAAAACCAAAACTTGACCTTTAACTACATGTGAGCTGCATTAAGCGGGGCGACGCTGCGGAACAACTCGAACTCGAAACGCTCGAAGACCTCTAGGAAGAGAAAGCCCTGTCTGTATATCAAGACGGCAGTATTCAAGCCCAATCCCAAACTATCGTCCTCTTCACCGCAGAAGACTACGATCCAAGTGCCGAGATTAAGGACACATGTTGATAGTAGTTGCTCGAATAATTTCGAGGAGTTGAAGGGGGATAAATGGAAGAGCCATGAGATGCGAGACGCATTTTTTGGAGTTCCATCGGGCTATAATCTTAATGAGGACCCAGCGGACATTATTTGTAAAATACCCATATGGTCGGGCAGGTCGGGATGCGGAGAACCACTGAATCGAGGAAAATGAGGCCACTATGCCCCTAATACGCGTGAGATATACAGAAGCAACGCTGGCTGGAATAGGCGGACGCTAGTCCTAAACAGGTTGCTACGTGACGCACCCCATATCCCACATTCACCCTCAACGCGGGGTCACGTGCGACAATAAAGTATACCCTTCCTGACAGGTCAGGGATATCTGTGTCGAGGTTGTATGATATCTTTGGTCACGATATCTGGTTTTTAAAGATGTCATGTTTGCTTAAGAAAGAGACTCTTGGTCAAGAGCTTAGCGCATCAAGAGTTGTGTGGTACTGTGAAAATTGGTGTGCCGCGAGGCGCAGGTTGACACATGTTGAGCCGAGCCCGAAGGACGAGATGTCTTACCTTACCTCCACGTCCTCCAGTTCGCAATCTTTCCCTGAAATTAGCACGATACATCATGGGGTTCGGAGCAAGCTTTGCATTTTTCACTTCGGCTATATTGCTCTTACTTATTCCCCTCCTTATCCCCCAGCCCAGCAAAATCAAGGCAGACAGAATCGGAGGCGATCCGGGTTTATTTGGCTTCAAGCCCACACTCGGGAAGGTGCAATTTCTGTTGCACGGGCACAGATTAGTGAATGAGAGGTTCGTATTCTTTCAAAAAAGGCGCGTAGTATAAGGCCGAGATGGCGCTTACGTACGACGGGTATATATACTATTCTGTACGCAAGATCAACTGTTGGTTGATTATTCGCACCTTTTTGGTTGTATTGGCGCAGTGGTACAGAGCTCCGTCCTTACACGTAGATGCTAGCACGCTAATGGAACGTACTCACAGTGTAAGGACAAGAACTACTTCCTTCAGTACACCAATGTAGATCGTCTAGTTCTTTCCCCAAAATATCTCGATGAGCTTCGAATGGGAAGTGCTGCGAAGTTAAATGCTTCGTTTACATCGGTCGAAAAACTACAGGGAGATATAGTGTTGTGGATATCATCTTGAAAGACCGTCAATCGCATGATATTTGTAGAGGAAGGCTTACCAAAAGTTTACGTATGAGGCCTCACATTGTAAAATTTCTCAATATCTAGCTAATGTACAATAACGACGATAGTGCTTTTGCTAGCAAGGGAGTTCACTCAGGATCTGTCACAAGAGCTGCGTGGCTGTAATGACAAAAGGTAGGGATGTAAGCGAAACTAGCTATCATTTCCCTAAAGTTTGCTAGAATACTCATCTTACAGCGCACACAAATTGCTCGTATCACTGAACTGGTCCGTGTCCTCGTTTTTCTTCGTTGGGCCGTCCCTTTCTCGCAACAAGGAGTGGCGAAAGTTATTCTCTGACTTACAACCTGCTATCATATCAGTGATAATATGGTTAACATCAATGCCGGAGGTCCTCCGTCGCATCTTGGGTCCTGTCATCACTCTAACTAAGAGGTTAAAGAGTGTTCATGCCGCTGTTCGACGGCATCTCTTTCCGCCTGGTCAGAAAATTAACGATGCCAAAGATCCTTCAATCCTACATCACTATCTTACAGCATCGAAAACAAGGGTCGAGAAACATGTTGTAGCCAAGTTCTGCATTTTAAGGAATTTAGCAGTAAGTGGACATCGGATGACCAAAAGATGCTTTGCTGACTTACCTTCCAAGTACACACAGTGACAAAATCTGTGAGCCATGTACTGTTTGATCTGTGCTCAATGCCTAGATACATCGACGGCCTCAGGAATGAGGTAGAAGAAGTCTTGGCCGCGAACGGTGGACATGGGACTCAGAGGCCACCAAGAAGCTCAGGCGAATGGATAGTTCTCTGAAGGAGTCCTAGGGATGGAATCCTCTAAGCTACAGTGAGCAAGTATCAAACTTTCGCTATCTAGGCTAATCTAATCGAAGTCTATAGTTTCTTTCGACGGCCTCGTACTCGCCAAAATGAAATTTTCAGACGAAACCATCCTTCTAGAAAGGACAGTTCATCAGTTTTCCGTCCGGACTAATGGCTAGAGATCCTGGATATCGTGATAACGAAGAAAATTTCGATAGGTATCGGTGTTTTAACGGGAGCCTACACCTGGGAAGTGGAAGGTTTACTTGTCCTAGCAAATTGTATGCAAGCACGGTGATGAAATTACAGGTCGGCCTGTTCATACTGAATTACGATATCAAGTTCCCGGATGGGCAAACCCAGAGGCCACCAAATTCGTACATGGACGCTGGTATAATGCCAAATGAGAAGCAAGATATTTATATTGAAAATTGGGGGACCATTTAAAGTTAGTTCCACCCCTAGGGAAGAGATTCTACTAGGGAAGAGATTCCAACTAGGAATTCTGATAGGATAGCGGAGCGCAAATAGTATTTAGTATAGATAACTGCAACAGAAAGTGTCCGCGAACACAGAACTTGCTAAACATGAGATAGAGATAATGTGGAACTCGCGGACAAGACATCAGACTGAGCGAGAAAAACTACCTCTAGAGTCCATGTTGAATTATCCGTTACCAAAGAAAATAGCTCCAACGGCTGGATACAGTCAGCCAACTACAAACGCTTTAATAATTTGATAGCGTACCTGTGAAAATGGCCAGAGCCCAGTTCCTAGTAATCTGAATTACATTCGGGGGACAATACCTATAACGGTCACTAATCATCGTATTCGCATGGCCGCTTAGTTGACTTACCTTTCCCCGGAAGCTTTCACAAAGCCATCCCAGAACAGCCACTGGGAGATGTACAGAAAGCAACCTGTGCTCAACACAAACGTCATCCATAGTTCTCTGATGTCAGGTTCCCGGTAATCTCGCAACAACTTAGGGGTTCTTTTTTTCTTGAACTGAGCTTCCAGCTCTGCGATGCGGCGGTCAAGGTAGCCCGGCTTAGAGCTTGCAGGGTTGGCGTTTGAGGGAGGCCGAGATATTTCAGGGATGCCAGATTCACCGACCCTATGCCCTCGGTATGAGGTGTCTTGATCATTCATCAACGGTACTGAAGGGCCAGGTTCCACGCTTATCGCATGCCCGTCGTCGAAAGGATTGGATCTCGTACTTGGAGCATGCGTGGAGGGATCTGAGATTGATGGCTCATACAGTTGAATTGTGTCGTACCCAGAGGTACCAATAGTTGGAGTCGGATTGAACCTCCGTCTCTGTATGGCATCTAGGTATGAAACGTTCATCCGGTCAGACGTCATAGCAGTACCGGTCCGGAGATCAGAGGGAACCGACGAAACGCGGGATGCAGGGACCCATTGTGTTTCTTCTGGATCAATTGCAATGGACATATGCGAAGAGTCAGAAACAATATCTTGCGAAGAAGCGAACGGGTTTTCAATGTAGGGCGTGCTCCTTGGTGCGGGCTCATCCCAAGTAGACTCTGGCGATTCTTGTGGAGTAACAAATTCCGGAAGGCAATACGGTAGTTGAAGAAGATCATTTGAAGCTCCGTTACTAACTCCTGGTTGATGATAATGGACTGATTGACTGCGCGAGAGCTGGAGTCTAGGTATGTCTCCAAGTTTAGCCCTAAGAAGGTATTCAACAAGCCCCCGTAGCCTTCCATGTAGATGTCGGTTTAACCATCTCCGAATGCCCCCGCGAACGATGTACTTGTTGATAAATCGCTGCCCTCGATTCGGAGGACGCCATCGCGGTGGACCACGACGCCTTCCGCGGTATGCAGCCCAACAACATCGGCCCAATCTCTCAATTGACTTTTGTAACATCTTGACTCCAGAGCTCCACCATTGTATTACTATTCTCTTTGCCTTCTGGAGAAACATGAGGCCGTGCTGAAGCGCTGTACCGAGTCCCAATAACAATGCTAGCCTGAAAGTAACGACACCCCAAATTATAATGGCGATCGGGAAGGCCATCATCCAGATCAATGATCCGATGTACATCTGCCTTGCATGTGGCCCGCGATAAAATGGAGACAGCCGGTGAGATTTGTAGAATTCCCTTTCCTGTCCTTTATTGGTGGTGTACCCGAGATAAACCGCTCCTAGTATCTGAACTACGAATTCGTTGAGAATAGAACTGTATGCAGTATCGATGAATAGATTAGCTTGCCAATTGTCCACGACCATCTGTCCATTTTTGAACCTCGCCACGGAGAGTTTTGAACTTCGAACGGTGCCAACGACCGATGTCAGCCAGGCTAGGCTCGGTCTGGAACACCATAAGAAGCCGAGTCGTACCCAGTCGAAATTCTCGAAGCCAGGGGCGGTCCTTAGAAGCCAGGCATTCAGGAAAGTCGTACCAATTTCGATTACGACCATAAGACAGGCCATCACTATGGTCCTTCCAGGACCTTTTCTAGAAGCCTCAGTGTCTTCTCCGTTCTGTGTATCCTGAGACTCCTGTGTCCCTGTTCCTCTAAGTCTCCCCCAGAACCTTGCAGGCCATTTCAGACCATTCTTGAAACTCAGCACGAACATTCTCACCCTGTCCTTGGTCCCATGATATTTCTCCCCAAATGGCGGATCGTACTCGGGAATGCCCCATTCCCAGCGGTCATGAGCGTAGTGCCATTTGATCTTCACGAATTGGAAGAAAAGAATGCTGAAACATGTAATCCAACTTTCTACGGCAAAGTACAGGAGATAGTAGGAAGGTGAGTGACACTTGTGGATATTCTTCCCACTTACTACCCCATCCACAGCTTGCACGGTCCAATTCCAAGGCATGATCCACTCCTGCCAATCATCTTTTGCCATCCCCCCAAAATGGGTAAACCCATGCCTCCATTCATCGGTGCAAAGCTCTTTAATCCAGGAAGCAATTTGAACAGTCTCGTCAGCATCCCCACAACAATTCTCATCAAGCATCATCCAATCCGGTGGAATTGACTGACACAACTCCGTAGCGTTAAGGATCGGCCACCCGTGAGTTCGGCAAGCGATGTCTCCGTGGCAATCATCGCACAGATGAAGGCCGGTATGGTTCGAGATAGTCGAATGCAATTCGTAGCATGACGAGGTCTTCCCACATTTTGAAGATAGCGATTCTAGAAGCTCATTGCCACAACCTTGACGGAAACATGCCGGAGCTTCACTAATTATACTGGTGAATTGTCGATAAGTAATTAAGGAGCCACATGTCGAGGTTAAGGAGACTGGCTGGGTAAACAGGAGTAGATAAACTACGAAAAGAATTGTTCGCGGAATCATCGTCGAAGGAGATTACATTGCCCTGATCCGAAACGTGAGAACGGTCGGTGCGCTCCCGATTTTGTGACTGCCGGTGCTTCGAGCAAGAAAGCATGACCTCATCGCCGGAGCCGAGAAAAATATCAGGCGATGTAACTTGACCAAATATGAAGAAAGGGTTGAGCCGATGAGAAGGCTGAGAAGTAGTTTCGCGAACGATGTCTGGATTCGGAAATTGTGGCTTGAGGCGTTATCACTCCACCCTTCCGGAGTGGTCGCACCGTACGAACTCTCGTCTTTAGTCCGGGGAAGGATGGTAGCCATTCTATCTCAAGGAATCCCTAAATGCTATTGAGGAGGGTCGGCGTCAGTATATAGAGAAAACAGCACCTATTCTATCTCTCATATTTCGGTTGGCGTATGAAGTGAACAAATGCAAAGCCATGATGGGAGGGAACCATATCGCTATAAGGCTAGGAATAACTAAAGTCTCGTATTAAGTCTAGTGGCACATATCTGGAGATGGATGGTCAGTTTTCACACGAGCCGACACCTTTCTCAAAGTCTGAATGGCACCTGTGCGTCTTCTACTCCTCTTTAGACATGCCGAGAACTTAGACGAGAGCATTTCTCTTTTGAGCCGTGAATGTGGCTTAGGGCACGCCCCCATCATGCGATGACAGACGGTGGTATGTTTGGCTGAAGGCAGTTTAGATGAATTTTTAGCCCGGTGCGACCATTCCACGTTGGATCGAAGTTTCTCTCTCGGAATATTTGCTTGATTTACCACCTTATGATCCTTCTCCTCAAATATTCAACAGCGGTGTCGTTTATCGCATTTGCGATAGGTGCCTATGGGGCCGGTGGGCCATTCGCACAGATCGCTCAGGTTGTTGGGTTCAACCAGACTCTCCCACTCTGTGCAGTAGGTGTTCTCCATATGAAACCCTCCAAAGGTGAAAGAGAGAGACTGACAGGAAGTAGCAAGCATGTCTAACTCTGTCCTTCCATGACTGCGGCTGTGAATTAGCAAACATCAACTGTCCGTGCAAAGCTCTAGCTGAAGCTGACTGGGAGGAGTTAGAGGACACAATACTGACCTATGTTGAAGGTACCTGTGATGGCGACAATACCAACGTCTTCGCAACCACTGCAAGGAGTTGTACCGAGAAGGCGTGTAAAGGAACAGATTTGCAAGTCGCTCTTGAGCAGATGAGCAGCCAGTGTCGAGTCACGGCAAGCACTAGTACCACAACGTCTACCACAACTTCTGGAACAAGTACTAGCACCACTTCAACATCCACATCTAGTCCAACCAGCGAACCAACATTAACTCCCTGTCTCGCCGACCCCGACGCACCATCAGCCTCTCAATGTGACCAAACAACCGCGTGCGTAGAAACAAATACGCAGAACTCTACAGGTGGGACCGGGTACTTCTGCGCCTGCCGAAGTGGATACAAATCTGACGTCCGCAATAACGATCCATATCTGCCATCACAATGGAAATTGTTCTGGCCCGGGCAGGAGAGCCGGGTATTTGTCAAACCTGGAGTGAAATGCGACACGCTATGCGAGGGCTGGATGCTTGGAGCAGATGGGTGCCAGGAGGTGTCACTTCACGGGAAGGTTTTGAGAAGAAACAGCGAAGAGGAGGGGCTGTTGATCGAAAGACATAACAAAGACGATGAGGATAGGGCTAAGAAACGCAAAGGGGAGGACTCTAGCATACCGTTCGTTTTTACATCATTTCTGTCCCTGCTGCTTGTATTGTTATTGTAACACGAGAATAATGATGTGTATTGAAATAATCTTTGGGTGCCTAGGAATGATCATCTTCAATCCTCAGCCGCTCTAACTGTTCTGTCCGGCCTATATTTTCTATACCCACTAAACCAACAAGCGCCTCATCGTCAATCACTTCCTTGACCTCAGGCTTGCTATTTGGCTGATGTCCATGGAACACGTTCAGCGGCGCACTCAATGGCTTGTATGCTTTGGGATTCTTCTTTGTCGACTTTCCGTGCTCCTGCGCTTGGAACTGGTACCCTCTCACCCGCGGTCCGGATCCAGTCTTCTCTGGTAGCTTGGGTTCATAAAATACTTCGAATGCTGCGACGTCTTGCTCGAAGTTGTTCGTTTCGATGCTATTACGGATGCCAGCGAAGAATGCACTTAGTATTTCGTGGTTGTGGAGTTGTATAAGGACCCAGCCCAGCATCTCTTTCGCGCCGAGGAGATGCTGGATGTATGCGCGATGATGTTTCGTGCAGGCATAGCACTTACAGCCTTCAGTCAACGGAATAACCGATTCCGAGTGTTCGTTCTGCCACATGTCGATTCCTAGGGATCGTCTCTCGGCGCCATTCGTCTTTTGAGGGGCAGGAAATGTAAATTCAAGGGCGATTCCAGCGTCAGTAGCCTCTGTTACAAACGGGACAGTGAAGAGATCCATCCCCAGCCCAACTTGACGCAATAGAGCCTGTGGACTAGTCGGGTTGTCAAACGACAATCTTGGGAGCGGTTGCAATTCCTCCGGAAGCTGATCCAGGAGATGGGAGTCGTATATGGCGACACCACTGATCTTATCCACCATATCATCCAGCAGATGTTCTAAATACCACGACTGCAGCTCTTTCTCGATCGGGAGGATCGGTGCAAAGACATTATATCGTGGGGTCCCTTTCTCGATTGTATTCCTTTTGGCAATTATATCCCTAGTCCAAGTTTCGGTCCTATCGCTCATCTTGTCCTTCCTTCTCGATCCGATCGTTTCTTGTCCAAATGGAATATCCGCCAAACCAACCACAATATCTGGTTGCAGCTTTCGTGCAGCGGCGGCGTAGTATTCTGAACTTATTGTCCGGAATCCCACCGACGTCAGTATGCCTATCTCCGAATTTGTATTTGTAGCTGCGCTTGGTATTGGTGGCTGTCGGCGGGCGCCTAGCACGATGAGCGAGTCGTGAGGAAGGGCAATGAACCTGCGAAGGGGATCCGAAGCTTCAATCTGAAATATGGGCGGAGTCTTTTGCGGGTGCTTCTCTACGACTTCATGCAATTAGACACATCCAGAAAGTCGTAATCTATAACTCACAATCCTCGAGAGCAATGTACACGCCATTGATGCCGGTTTTAGGAAAATTGTCTTGCGAAACATGCGGCACAATACCCCGAGAAGTATTTCCAAGGAATCCGGGAGTTAGTATAGTCTTTCTACTAGAGAGAGAGAGGCGGCCGAGGCGAGGAGCGAGGGTAGTTGTGCGTTTGAGGATGGTGAAATCAAGCATTTCTGGAGGAAGCTGAGAAAGATGGGAGGGCGTGGATTCGTCCGTCATGATAACTCTCAGGAGTAATGAGCGACAAAATTCTTCTATATGGAACAATAGAATATGGCAGTGGCGGGGTTGTTAAAAAAAAGCCTTACAACAAGTTTAAAGTTATGTCGACCGTAGGCTCAGCCTCTCACTGAAAATTGTCTGTGCATGCACGTGATAGCGTGAAGAAAGAAACACGACACACTCCGCGTGAAGTGTTCTTCAGAACATGGCCCACATTCATAAGCGCTGATAACCAACCTGTCCGGTAGGGTTAATACGCGGCTTAGGATCCCATGTACCTTCCGTCCTGAAATTCATCCACTCTAAGATGCTCAATCCCAGTCAACCACTCAGCCATTGAACTTGAATCGCCAAGTGCTTCGAAAAAGACCCCATCCTGCACTCACGCGCGGCGAAAAAAAAAAAATAGGCGCTCCCCCTCTCCGAGCAAGCCCCTTGAACAGGCCTCGACAAAGACGAGGTTCCGGGCCTTCAAACTAGAGTAGGCGAACCTTGCAATAATGTGCCCTTGCATCTGCACAGCTACCTTTGTCGATGGTTTCCTTCTTTTGGCGTAAGAACCTCGAAGAAGCTACTATTATCACCCCAGCAGGCAGCCAGGCTTAATGTGGGCTACCGTCCAAGTGCTCTCTTCAATCTTTCCCACTTCTCCTCCATCCCCTACATCCAATCGCGTCCTCTATTCTACAGTTTAGCCATCTTAAAATAAACCATTTATCCATCAAAATGCGTTCCCCAAGGTCTGCGTTGCCGAAACAATCGGAAGCCCACCACGGCCTCGGCCTTTTCGCCTCAATGACGCCATGGCAACAATTCTGGGTCACATCCTTGAAACCCACCATCTGCAGAGCCTACTTTTACCTGTCCACTAAGTAACACGCCGCTTCCGGGGTCACGTGATGCCCCGATCCCCATCGTCTGCATTTCTGACACGCACAACCAGAAGCCAGATGTTCCCGCTGGCGACGCCCTGATTCATGCTGGAGATCTGACAAACATGCACGATCGAGGAGCCTCAAGACTAGATAGACTAGATTAGCCCATTGCCCCATAAACGAAAGATTGTGGTCGCTAGAGACCACGATTACGAGCTCTACCCAAAGGACGAGGATCTTGATATGAGAAGGGGAAGGAAGTTGGAGTAGAAGCGAGTCACGTACTTTCATTGCGAGATTGCTATCAGTTTGCCATGCGTTCAGTTGATTGTTTAAAACAAGAATACGTTAGGGTGGGAGAGCAAAACGCTGATTGTTATGGGCTGGCCCTTTACGTTTCCTTCGGCTAGTGGTGCCATTACAGCAAGACAGAGGAATGGTTATGACAGCACTGACATTTTTGTCACGCACATTCCCCCGAGATATCATTGCGATGGTGGTTTTGGTGGAGCCACACTAGAGAGCGACGGTCTACTAAAGGAGATGTGGCGGTTCAAACCGAAATTGCGCATTTTTAGCCATGTACATCAGTATACGGGTAGTGCTGCTGTGTAGTGAAATGACGGCCAGGCAGCATATGAGAGGGCGTCCCCGGGACAGGATGCAGGGTTGATGGAGGTCCTCTCGCCGTTCGCTTGGATAGATATGTTACTCGTTATTGTATGCGGAATCTGCGTTTTGGCTCTAGGACGGCTCGGATGGGAGAAGGGAAGAAGACGAAACATCCTTTTAAATGCATCGATGCGGTACGACGGTATGGGCACCTTCGTCCCTTTTCAGGTCATCGACATGTCGCGTGTAGTTACGCACAGACATCTCTCTCCAATGCCACCTATATCTTCCGCCACTTAAGTACACCTTCAAGACATCGTTGTGATCAAATCCTCCCACTCCTCTCCAGCATCAAAACAGCTCCAAAAATACTTTCCAGCCCCAGTCTGATCTTTGACTCCCGAGTACTCGATGTAGGAGCTCAGCCCCATTCCCTGGAAACTCGAAATCATCCAATAGTTAAAACCATCGCCGTCATCCATAGTGCACCTGCCAACAATGTATCCAACGTCATCATGAGCCATCTCGTTCCCTTGCTTGTCGTGATGCAAGATAAATGCATGAGTAGCTAGAAGCAAAGAGGGTGCATCATCTCCCCCCCCTCTAAGCTCTCTTTCGACAAGTGCAGATAGGAAGACATTATCGATAGCAATAAAGTCATAAGGAGGTCGATTATTATGACGGCGAAACTCTGGGGACTCGAAGTAGCGCATCAGAGATGCGAAAGTACCATCGCCATTAGGGACGTTTGAGAGAGGAAACTCTTCCTCATAACATCCCTCGCTGAGAATGAATTTTCGGAGTGTGTGCTCCTCTGTCGATGTCAATGGCTGCAGTATGAATATTGGCAGCTCGCTCTTGTCTACAAAATAGTTAGTTCCGACAGGACACGGGTCTCTAATAATGAACTTATGACTGACTTATCAACCCTGGAATATCTGGATTCAATATGTGTGTAAAGGTATCCGTCCTGACTCTCTGCATAGCTTCGTTCGCTCGGATACCGTTCCAAGTTCCCGTTCCTACCGGATTCCACCCTGTATTCCAGGTCTGCAAGACTTTATCGGCGGGGAGTATCCGTGCAGTCATATTGTTTTCAACAAATGACTTCGGATCGTCCACTTCCCCCAATCTCTGGCGTCGAACAAGGATGGCTTCTGGATGACGATCGGGGCCATGAAGGTCGATTGTGTCGATAAAGAGACCGTATATCTCTTCATACGGGTTCGGCCAATCTGGTTTAATACGATTGAAGATGTGCCACATGTCACTTTCGCTGCCTGGCGCGATACCTGCGGGCCAGTTGAAGATTTTTGGAGGCTCCATATTAGGGTCTGTTCCAATTCTCTCCAGCAACTGGTCTATTTCTGTCTGCGAGAGGTGAATGAGAGAAACCAATGTTGGGGACCCCTCTTGAAGCCGTAAATCCGAGGGGAGATGTTCAGGCCATGTATACTCGACATCTTTCGCCACGAAAATCTCTTCTTGCCCTCGTGGTGTTTCACCTGGCTCCTCATCCGGAACCAGCTCTTCATCAAGTATATTCGGGAACCAGCTCCCATTCTCGCTCGAAGCACCCGCCACAAGCCTCTTCGCTTTCTTCCATTCCACCCTCGCAAATTCTTCTTTGTGCTCGACGCCACTCGGATACCCCTCGGTTCGGAACCAGTGCGAAATTACACATGTTCCACCTTTGATGCCAATATCATCAACGAAGATGTGTGAGTCATTATGGGGGTACGAGATCTCGAAAAGAATGTCTTCGTGTGGGGTATAATTTCTCAACCAGGGGACGACGACCAGCTCACGAGGTTGTGGGAGATAGGAAGGCCAAGGAGAGTCCGCCGCTTCTAGCTCTTTCAGAATTTGGTCTCGCTGGTCTTCGGTAGTTTTGACTAGAAAGATCACGGGAACGGGGGGTGGAGTTCCATCTCTGGAGATCCAGTATGTTTGCGCAGTAATTTGCGGGACTTCAAAGATCGCTGGAGCGCGTCTGGACACGTGCGTACCGTCCATCTCGTTTTTGGGATTATATTCGAGAGGCGTCGATTGAGAGCACGTCGTGTCATTTACACTCATCGCACTAGGGAGCCTTTTACTTGTCTGGAGCCTGAAATACGACGATCCCTCAACACGTGATCGGATTCCTTCTCACGTTTTACTGGCATGGCGAACGCGAAGTCAGCCGAGCGGAAAATCCAATACCAAAGTCTAGTAGATTGGGGTTCTTACTTTACGGAAACGCAAGTATGGTAAAGGTGTGCAAGAACGTTGGGTTTCACCCAGTGCAAAAAAAATGGTTTCGATGACCTTCGACCTTTTGGACTACCGGTAACGTCCGTCCCTACATGGCGAGAAACCCGCCGTGCCGAGCAACATGATAAGGTCAGCCACGCGGGTGCGAAAGAAGCGACCGCCAATCCAGGCTAGTGCAAAACGACATAGAGTGGCTAAAGGTTTGTGGGTGGGTGGGGTCTTGGCAAGCGGGCCAACTCCACCCTCTGGGCAGCGAACTCAACTCTCTGAAAACCCTACAGGATTCGCCGCCTCATAACCCTCTGGCCAGAGTCGGGTGTCTACCTCACTACTATTGTAGCTAGCATGGCAAATAGCCTCACCTGCCTCGTTAAGCCTTAAAGCATTGGTAGAAACTAGTAGGCTCCTCCTATTAGTATAAATGCTTGCTACGTTGTGAAATAGAGATGTTAGAATATATATGATAAAGTAAATAGCATTAACTAAAACCTATCTTTATATCAACCTTGAGAACCGCCGTACGGCCAGATGAGTGCCCAAGGCAAGCTACGTCTCCGTATACTCTAGAGCAAGTTGGTCGATATTCAGAAGGAAGCCACAACAACTGTTGTTGGTTTAAGGAGGCCCATTCGTCTCGGATGAAGATATAAGATAACTTCTTCCTTTGTAGTGAAGGCAATAACGTAGAGAGTGAGGGTAAAGGAATATCTCCTCAATCAGTTTGAAAATACTGCCTGTCCAGCAAGAAGGCAATGGCCCTAATGGAGCGGACGTAGCCCTCAGGCACGCTGCGGCACAACCCCGTCGCCGCCTCCCATACCCGCACCGTTGTATCGTAAGAGGCCGGCGTGACCAACTGCCCGTCCAGCGAGAGGGCGACGACCCTGACCCAGTCAGTATGGCCCTCGAACACGCTGAGGCACAGCCCCGCCGCCGCCTCCTACGCCCGCATCGTTGTGTTGTTTGAGGCCGATGCGACCAGTTGGCCCGTCCGGCGAGAAGGCAACAGCCCTGACAGAGCCGGTACGACTCTTAAGCACGCTGCGGCATAACCCTGCTGCCACCTCCCACACTCGCATTGCTGTGTCGTCCAAGGCCAACGCGAACCGCTGCCCGTCCAGCAAGAAGAAGACAACCCTAGCCAAATCAGTACAGCCCTCAGGCACGCTGTGGCACAACTCCGTAGCCACCTCCCACGCCCGCACTGTTCTATCATTCAAGGCCAATGCAACTAGCATCCATCCAGCAAGAAACCAGCAGCCCTAACTAGGTTAGAGTAGCCTTTAACCACACTGCAGCAGGCTTCCTAGGCAGCTTCCCTCTTTCTTTAACAACATCTTAATCTACTGTAGAACTTTGTCTACAAAAGATTCCTGTATAATACTTGCCTTAGAGGCAAAAGTAAGAGCTAAACAATATATCTATAGAGAAGCTTCTTTAACTATATAACAGAATTATAGTATAAATTATTAAGCATATTATCGAAATAGAAAGAGAGCGCTATTTAGTAACTGTAACGCAAGTTAGTAGTGTGTTATAGTAAAGTTATAAAAGTTCTACATTGTAACAGCGCAGGCAAAACATTAGGTCCGAATGCGGTGTAAATCCACCCAGAGGCATATAGAAGTGCGTAGGGACTTAGAAACCTAGGAATTCTATTAACGCCTATAGGCCTTGTACAAAAGAATATTAGGAAACTACTAAGCTAGCTAAGGGGAGAGGTGCAACTAAATACTTAGAGATAAGAGTAGCGTAGAGGCTAGAACAGAGGAGGGCAGAGCTAATACAGCAAACTTTTAAATGTAGGTTTATTAAGCAACTTAAAATAAAATAATTAAAGTATATTATTACACTACTTCTTTGTTTTATAAGCTAATAGTTCTTATCTATAGTAGTTAAAGTAAGAAAGTATTACTATCTTCTCTTTATAGCATGTTGTTAGTAGTAAAGTAGGCAACTATAGCTTTGAAAAGGCTTTTCTAAGTGTACTTAAAACCTAAGTTTAGTACTTATAAGCTAAGCTTTATTTTTTTTTAAAAGTAGAACAACTATTTTAATTTAAATATAAACCTCTTAATACCTATACAAATAAAATGTGCTTTAAAAGTAAAAAAGACTTTTTTTTATTTATTTTAAAAACTTAGAACACTTATTACACTTTAGTTTTTTTATTACTAGTAATAAAATAAGCTTATAAAAGCTTTATTATATTCTCTATATTTTTAAACTAAAACTAGCTAAATTTAGCTAGGTATTCTAGCTCTAGATATTTCTTTACAATGCTAGCAGCGTGTCTCTATACAAGCATTATATGTGCACGCTTACTTTAATAGTAATCTATATTAATGTTAAGTCTATCTTGTAACGGCGCAGGCAAGTCAATGGGTCCGAATGCGGTATGAATCCACTCAGAGGCATATGGGAGTGCGTGGGGACTCAGAGACCTGGGAATACCAATGACAATGTAACGGCGCAGGCAAGACAATGGGTCCGAATGCGGTATGAATCCACTCAGAGGCATATGGGAGTGCGTGGGGACTCAGAGACCTGGGAATACCAATGACACCTATAGGCCTTGTACGTAGGATATCAGAAAACTACCGAGCTAGCTACGGGGGCGAGGTGCGACTAAATACATGAGGGAATAGGGGTAACAGCAGGGGGCCGGGCAGAGTCGAGTCAGGGTCGAGCCAGGGTCGGAGCCGATACGGAGACCCTTCGGATAGGTTCCGGGCGACCCGAGATGGGACGATTCATGAGAATCGTTACATATCTGTGGTAAAAGCTTATTATTATTTAAATATAAATTTTTAACTATTTATAAGTTTTTAATTTTAAGTATATATTTAGTAAAGTAGCTTTAAAAAAGCTTAAAAGTACCTAAAGAGTCTTTTATACTAGAGGTAGTAAAAGTGTTTTAAGGCATTATTAAAAGTAATTTAGTAAGTAGTAGAGGTTCATTAAAGCTAACAGTTTTTAACCTAGTTAGCTGCTTAATTTACATTTATAATTATGTAATTTAGTTTTTAAAGGCTATATTTCCATAGTTTAACTTTAAGTTAAGTAAGTTCTTAGCTTTAAGCTTTAAAAAAGTAAGTTTAGCTATTGTTTATAATAAGGTAGGCGCCCCGCCTGCCAAGCCGATACTATACGACTTTCCCCACTGTACTAAAAGGTACGCACGAGAATACTTAAGCTAAGTATTCTCGCATAGTATAATATATATATAGGTAATGCTAGGGTAAGCACTAGCACTAGCGGTTGTCTCTAGCCTAGCCTAAACCTCTATAAGCGAGAGAAGGCCACGTGGTTGAATGTGCCGACCTCGTTACATTATTAAAGTAAGTAGTTACTTAGCTTTAAACGCTAAAAGCTTGCTTTAGCTCTAGCTAAAGTATATTATAAACTTTAGACTAGAATTTAAAAGTAGTTAAAAGCTAAGCATTAATAATTATCTTTAATTTTACTTTAGTACACTTTTTATAAGGTGTGCAAGTAGGCAGAAAGGGGGCTCTCTAGAGAGTATCTTTTTCCTTTCTATATTAACTTGCAAAGAGTAAATTTAAAATAAGAAGGTATGTTATATTCAGCTTGTGTTAAAATGAAGGTGTACAATACCTACGAAGACAGGTTGAAATGCTCTTATCCAACCTAGATTATTCAGACCTTGAATGGTCAGGGTCTAGGTAAAAGACTTGACAAATTGCTGCCCTCTAAGGCAGAGATTTGCTACTGCTTATATACACACTACTTCTCTGTTCTATGCCTTGCTGCATTCGTCCATGCCTCGCTGCATCCGGCTGATCGTTCTTTGTCCGTTCTGGTCCGATATGGCCGCAAGCGGCCAAGGTCAAGCCTGATCATGACAGCTTGCTTGTGTTTTATGTTTTATACCTAAGAATTTCCTCTAGGCCCTTCCAGGAGTTCCTAGAAATTTCTCTAACAAAACAACGGACTATAGCCGCGAAGACAAACAGAGGGACTGCTATGTTTACTAGCGTCTAGACACCTATCTCTAGGCCACTCTAAAGGAAGACAGCGCTCTTCTCTAGTCCTAGTAGGCTTATGCTTGAGATAGACACGTATGTCATGTTTAATTGTTTCCCTTAACACCTTGTGCAGGACCGAATCTTAGAATATGCCATTAGAGGCGAATGTAGCGCTCTCGTTAGCTTTTTTACAAAGATACGCAGTGACACTAGCTTAAGACCCTTTATTTGCGAAAAGCGCTAGAGGATTGCTTAGATATTGCTGTCTCTTTTGCATTTATCTGGCGCGTCTATTACAATAAGAAGAAGTAAGGCTGGTGAATTTGCTACTTTAATAAATGGCTAGAGGATTAGCTTCTTAAACTAATCCTTTAGGCCCTTCTTAGATATACTTAGCTAGACTAGCATTAATTGCCTTCTTAATTCTAAGTCTAATCACTGATACACGAACAGCCAGATGTGTGGTAATTGCGATGAAGAATTGCGTGGCGTTGCTGTACTCCCCCTTGCCTCTATTAAGGGGGAAGTTAGCTTCTGGTTGTTAGTTAGCAAAGGTCTAGGCAACAGTACAAGTAATTGTTGACTTTCCTGTGCCTGCTGCGCTGTTTAACCAGAATATAGATTTGTTGTTTTATTGTTTGCCCATCCTTGTATATGATGGAGTAACTTGGTGCGGGTGTTTGGGGGGCATGCCGAGCTATGTGCTTCCATGCGGGAGTTGAATTTAGTGGTAGGCAGCTTGGCTAAGTCTAGTTTGTAATCTAAATTAAGTACAATATATCTATTTAGTTAGTGAACGGCTTTGCCTACAAAAGATTACGGCGAAGTATGAATTTATGTGCGGTCACCTAGCAGAGCTAGATTGAATATTTGTTTATGTTGTTCCAGGCTAGAAATAATTTTCTCTATCTTCAAACCAGCTCATAGCGTTACGAGTCTTTCTCGCCTCTAATTCTGTCTCCAAATCCTGTAGCTCCTGTCGGCACTTCTTAAGCGAGTTGAGTAGCTCATATACAGTAGAAAGCCGTGCTTTGCCCCGTTTGTCCGATAGCTGCCACATCTTTTGCAGGACACCCTTGATTTCTTTAACATTATGTTTAAGGCAATTGATATCCCTCTTCGCATCCTTGACAGCGAGTGAGTACTAGAAGTAGAGCGATGCGACTTTGGCGGATATGTCGACGACAGCGATTATGCTTGCCACTCCCGAAAGACCATCCATGATGCGACGTGTGGATAGGGTTGTGAACGTCGCTGTAGACCTACAGTAGCTCCTCTGTCAGCCCACGAAGCGGCGATACTGTTCCTTGGATGTCAGAAAAGTTGCCGTTCATCCTAAATGGGGTAGGACTGAGAAGGGCTGCGGCTGCACGCTGCAGCGTTCAATATCGGACATGGGTCCAAGCGGTACGGAAATACATTCCGCCGAGTCTCTCTTCTCCCAAAAGACACGGGGGAGCGCCATGCAGCTTGCGCACGCTAGCAGGGAGATGGCCGACCCGCTTCGGCCAGACTTTTGTGGGGGTGGAGATTGTGCCGGTGTTCTTAGAGAGTTGATTTGGTTGATCGGAGCCATAGCTAAGTCGCAGTACAAGGCTGTAGGTTGAGGCCGACCAAGACCCCGCACAGCCACAGGCCACTTTAAGTAAGTAAACGACATCCTGGATTTCCGGCACGGAAGGAGTACGTTGGCTCATAAGCAGGTTGCAGGAGACGACACTTTACCGGCCAATCAGCCTTCGGCGGTGGCATATTGCTCCGCTGCACCGCCCCTCGACAAGGCTGTGAACCCTCAAACCCACCTTTCACGATTCGACATACGCAATGCTACAGCACAAATCTTGCGATTGCGGAAACCGAAATTCGTCCGTTCAGTAATTTTGAATCCAGAGTCTTGGGGCATAAGCAGCTATATAGTCGCGTTTCTATTCCCCCTTCACTCCTGCACATCTCACCTCGAAGCACATTCTCTCTCACAGAAATCAAGCCTTCTCATCTGTCTCTTCCCCTCCTTTTGATCACCTTAGCCTTTCTTTGCCATGACTCGTTCCGAGTCTTTCTCTTTCAATCCGGCTAGAGACATTCCTAGCCTCTCAGGCAAGGTCATCCTCGTCACAGGAGGCACTGCCGGTCTTGGCACAGAAACGATCTTTCAACTCTCCAAGCACACTCCCCAGCGCATCCTCTTCACAGGCCGCAATGCAGCCTCTGCCGAAAAAGTCATACAATCCGCCAAGGAGGCCAATGCCAATCTCGACATCGCTTTCGTTCAATGCGACTTCAATTCCCTCAAGTCAGTCCACGATGCCGGAAAACATGTCCTCTCTACCAACACAAGGCTCGACATCTTGATGTGCAATGCTGGAATTATGGCCGTCCCCAAGGCGCTGACAAGTGACGGTTATGAAGTGCAATTCGGCGTCAACCACCTCGCACACGCACTGCTCATTAAGACCCTTCTCCCGCTCCTATTGCGAACATCCGAACTACCGAGCGCCGACGTCCGCATCATATCCAGCTCTTCCCTAGGTTTCGCATTCGCCACCTCTATCGTCTTCGACAAACTCCGTACAGAGCACGACATGGCCGTCCTAGGTGCATTCAGACGTTACGGTGATTCTAAGCTCGCCAACGTGCTCTACGCCCAGCAGCTCGCGGTACATTATCCGCAGATAACAAGTGTATCTATTCACCCAGGAGTTATCCGAACAGGGCTGATAGACACCTTAAGTACTTTCAACAAGTGCTTTTGCGAGTTGGCGACGGTGGGCCAGAAAATTAGTATACAGGATGGAGCGAAGAATCAACTTTGGGCAGCCACCTGTAAGAAAGAGAAGATACAGAATGGGGTATTCTACGAGCCAGTGGGAAAGGTTGGGAGGACGACAAGTGCAAGTAAAGATGCCAAGTTGGCCGCCAAGTTATGGGAGTGGACGGAGGGGGAGTTAAAGGCATTCGAATCGTAACTACAGGGTTAAGCCGTATGCTAACTGTATAAAACGCCCAAGCTATCCAGACTCAAGGGTAAATGTCAATTTATCTAAGCCTCTCTTCCTAGGAAGGAATTTTTGTGGTCGTAAGTTTGCCGAGCAACGCTAGGAGCTAGGGTGCGAATTTCGACTCACGCTAGACGTCGCAGAGCTGAAATCACTGTCGAACCCCTCATAGCTCTACAAATTAAATCACCCGATGTTTTGGTCTAGCACTACCCTTTTCCTGTCATTTAGGGCGTCCAGGCAACATACAATCATAGCCGCTATCCACTTCAATACCCTCTGCCCACCCCCCTGAAACTCGCATTCCATACTTCAGAGATGCATTCCTTGCCTCCTTCCTTAGATCTTGCCTTCTGCCTTCGGATGAGCCTTCTCATAATGGTCCATGCAATGAACCGATTGTTAAAGAGCAGCACCAAGGTTCAAATAGGCATAGCATTTATGATTTATCTTTCTCTTCCTATCCTGCGCTTTAGCCACTATTGGAGTTTACGTTCTTATTTTAGGACATCTTATATCTGTCTCATTCTCAAGGCAAACCCAATTGACTACAGTCGTTGCAATTATCTCCATAGTTCCTATCTTAATACACTTAGCTCTATCAACCACCATCGCGTTAAATCGGTGGTGAGAGGGACAAGAATGGGCACTGCTGAGGAACTACACCATGCTCGCCCCAGAACCCTCTACCCACACAGATGGAAAATAGCTTATTCAAAAGCAGCGACTTCTTGAAAATGCTCAACATTTGCTTCGTACAATCCCTTCCTACAAGCTAGTAGAAGAGTCGAGACTGGGACTAGATCATACACAGATCTTCTAATCCACATGGGCGTGTTCACACAGAACAGGACGGAATGGCGGGATTCTGGTACATAAGTTGGCTTATGGAGACGGTTAGAATGTAACTTAGCTATTTAGCTAGAGATTACATTAGCCTTGTATCAATAGTCCGAGAACACTCCCATTCTCACAAAGAACAACACCGGACTCGCCTTTCCGGCAGGGGGGACGGGACGTGCCCAGGAACTATCGAGACCACATACATATAAGCAACTTGCTCCTAGTCGAACCAACACATTGATCTCTACTATCTTGATAAGGTGCTTCAGGCTAAAGTTTGTATTTCCAATTTTCTAGAGGACGACAATCTTCTTCGCACTCAACTAGATATGGTATAGGTTTCCAGTAGGTAGGCGGTAAGCATGCCACTCTCGTAGATAGGCAGCGCTAGCGATCAAGTAAGGCAAAGAGGTAGGTAGATGTCCTGCCAACGCCTGGAAGCCGGACTGCACTCGGTGTTAATACTTAATTAAGTAAAGGCCACTTAAGAATATGTGGAGCTTGTGGGAGCACAGAGATATGAGGAACTGGATTAATTGCTAGAGAAGTGCACCTAGGGGTCTATATATATGCAGAAAAGGGGTAATTCTTGACAACATAAGACTTATTGTAACATGCATGCAACTATTGTAAGAGCCATGCGTGAGAGCTATGCGTGACTGTAAAAGCTATGCGTAACTACTGTAAACACACACCCCTAGCTTAAATAAAGTAGGTGTATAAGTAATTAAGTAGAATAAAAGCTGCATAAGATACAAACGGATTAATAAGCAATTTATATAGTAACGTACATCACAGGCAAGTTGCTTACACACCTAAGTTGCTTACTTTTGCTAAGACCCTACTAAACTACTTTTCTTATACTAATGCATTTTTAATAACACTACTTAGATGCGCTAAAAAAACATTAGATATAGCTTACACTTTAGGCTTTTAAATAAAATGTAACACTTTTAAAATAATATGCTATAGCTATATATAAAGTTTTTTAAAAAATAATAAATAACTAATACACTAGATAACTTTTATAAGCTAATTTTATAGCTAACTTATAAAAGCTAGGTAATAATAAAAAGTAAGTAATTATTAAGCATATACTTAAGCTATATATATAAGAATTTTCTTTTTAGCTAGTAGCTATAGCTAATATAGCTAATTCTTTACACGCTAAGCATAATTTAAGCTATATTAGTATAAACTAGCTTAGTATATTTATAAAGTGTTATTTAAAGCTTAAAGTAAAGTTTAAGTATAACGTACTTCACAGGCGAGTTGCTCACACACCTGAGTTGCTTACTTTTGCCAAGACCCTACTAAACTACCCTTCCTACACTAATGCATTCCCTACAACACTACTTAGACGCGCTAAAAGAACGTTAGATACAGCTTGCGCTTTAAGCTTTTAAATAAGACATAAAACTTTTAAAAAAATGTGCTGTAGCTATATGCAGGGTCTTATAAAAAATAATAAATAACTATAGCGCTAGACAACCTTTACAAGCTAATTCTACAGCTAAATTATAAAGGCTAGGTAATAAAAAAGAGCAGGTAATTATTAAGACTATACTTAAGCTATATGCGCAAGGAATTTCCCTTTAAATAGCATTTATAGCTAATATAGCTAATTCTTTGCGCGCTAAGCGTAATCTAGGCTATATTTACATAAACTAGCCTAGTACGTTTGTAAAGCATTATTTAAAGCTTAAAGTAAAGTTTTAAGCGTAAGTATAGTTAAGAGATATTTAGCTAATTATAAACCTTATCTTGCTAAAGTTGTACGTGTTATTATCCTAGATGCTATACTTAGCTTTAATATTCTCTATAAGGCTAAACCTGCTCTAAATTACCCTAGAACTCTTATAGAGAGCTCTTTTATAGTTATACTTACGCTTAAACATTACTTTAAGCTCTAAATAACACTTTATAAATGTACTAGGCTAGTTTATGTAAACATAGCCTAGATTACGCTTAGCGCGCAAAGAATTAGCTATATTAGCTATAAATGCTATCTAAGGGGAAATTCCTTACGCATATAGCTTAAGTATAGTCTTAATAATTACTTGCTCCTTTTTATTACCTAGCCTCTATAATTTAGCTGTAGAATTAGCTTATAAAGGTTATTTAGTGCTGTAGTTATTTATTATTTTTTATAAAACTTTACACATAGCTACAGCACATTTCTTTAAGAGTTTTATGTCTTATTTAAAAGCTTAGAGCGTAAGCTGTATCTAAAGTTCTTTTAGCGCGTCTAAGTAGTGTTGTGGGGAATGCATTAGTGTAGGAAGGGTAGTTTAGTGGGGTCTTAGCAAAAGTGAGCAACTTAGGTGTGTGAGCAACTCGCCCGTGAAGTACGTTAACTATAACTATAAAAAAGCTTTTTATAAAAATTTTTAAGTAATTTAAAAGTAGTTTAGCTTTATAAAAAATATTAAAGCTAAGTATAATATTTAGAATAATAACATATATAACTTTAATAAACTAGGCTGTAAAATAAGCTAGATATTTACTAACTATACTTATACTTAAAACTTTACTTTAAGCTTTAGATAATACTTTATAAACATACTAAGCTAGTTTATGCTAATATAGCTTAAATTATACTTAGCATGTAAAAAATTAGCTATATTAGCTATAGCTACTAGCTAAAAGAAAAATCCTTATATATATAGCTTAATTATATGCTTAATAATTACCTACTTTTTATTATTACTTAGCTTTTATAAGTTAGCTATAAAATTAGCTTATAAAAGTTATTTAGTGTGTTAGTTATTTATTATTTTTTAAAAACTTTTATACATAGCTGCAGCATGTTATTTTAAAGGTGTTATATCTTATTTAAAAGCCTAGAGTATAAGCTGTATCTATTGTTCTTTTAGCGCGTCTAAGTAGTGTTATTAAGAATGCATTAGTGTAAGAAAAGTAGTTTAGTAAGGTCTTAGTAAAAGTAAACAACTTAGGTGTGTAAGCAACCTGCCTGTAATATACGTTATGTTTTGTTTAAAAAATTAAAGTGTAAGCTATATTTAACATTCTTTTAACATGTCTAAGTAGTGTTGTTAGAAATACATTAGTATAGAAAGTGTAACAGCATAGGCAAGACAATAGGTTTAAATGCGGTATAAATCCACTTAGAGACATATAGAAGTGCGTAGGGATTTAGAAACATAGGAATGCTATTAACACCTATAGGCCATATACAAAGGATATTAGAAAACTACTAAACTAGCTACAGAGAGAGGTGCAACTAAATACTTGTTAGAATAGAAGTACAGCAGAGGGCGGGGCAGGGTTAGAGCAGATACAAGGAACCTTTAGATATAAGGTTTACTAGGTAACTTTAAATAGAACAGTTTAAGCAAATTGTTATAGAAAAAGTAGTCTAGTAGAGTTTTAGTAAAAGTAAGTAACTTAGGCGTGTAAGTAGCTTACCTATAGTGTATGTTAACTAAAAAGTAGACAATTATATAATTATTTTTTTTACTTTAATTTATAAAAATTTATACTTTAACTATGTAAAGTAGTAGATTTTACATCTTCTAGATAGCGTAGTACTGTATTAAAACCTATTTAAACTAGTAAAGATTACTAAAAGTAGTGCTAAAAGCTCTTACACACTATAGTAGAAAGAAATTGCTAAAAGCTTTTATAAATTTTATAATAGTTAGAGATGTTTTATTTTAGTAAGCTATAGTATTATCGTTTTAGGGCATTATTATCTAGAATTAACTTAATCTTCTAGCTACTTTCCTATCTGCCTTTACTACACTATTAACCTATATTTAGAATGCATTAGAAGCTTAGAAGAAGAACATTTAATTAATACTAAATTTAAGTAAAAGTAAAATTATGTTAAGCATAAACATGTAGAAATCTCTAAACTATTACTTCTTCTTAGTAGTAGTTACTTACTTTATTAGCAAGTAAAATAGTTTATGTGGTATTATTAACCTTAAATTTAACTTCTATCTAGATGCTAATAATAAAGCTTAAAAAGATCTTATTAGCTTTAAAAATCTACTTAAAGACTACTTTAGATTAAACTTTACCTACACAGCTATTATAGTTCTTAATAAGTATAGCATTACATTAAAATTTAGCTACTTTGTATAGAATAATGCCTCTAATAGCAATAGAACCTTTATATGCGCCCTTAATAAGCACTCTAAGCTCTCTATAAGCAATACGCACTAAATACGCTATATAGAGCATATAATTAACATAATAGCTAATTCTATTATATATAGTAAAAGTTTAAGCTATATTAAAGGTGTAAAGTAATTAGTAAACTTTATAACTTTATAAACATAATTATAGCTTTATATAAGTAAAAAGAGCTTTTTACTACTATATAGTATTTAGTACTTAAAAAAGACTTTTTCTAAACATTTAGTACACTTAAACTAGCGTAGGACAGTAGGATTAGATAGAATTCTACCTCTCTAATGCTTTTCTGCTATTTAGATCTTAAAAAAGCTATCTTAAAGTTTATATACTTATAAAAAGCTGCTAATAAGTGTAGAATTAATAAGTATAATAGTTTTAGCTTTTTAGCTAACACTTTTACTAATAAAAATTAAAATAAAGCTAAGTAGCTTATAAACTTTTTTAAGTTTTTTTATTAGATAACTAAACAATTTAAAGAAGATCTAGGTATAAACAGATATATATCTCTTTAGTAGACTCTTGTACATTTTTAACACTTCTAGATTTGCTTCTATAAGGCCTAGAAAATAGCATAGTTCTGTTACTTTAAAAAGCTTTATAAATAAAGCATTAATAAGTTAATAACATGCTTTATAACTTTTATAAAAAATCTTTTTATTTTATACTATTATATTATAACATTTTTTAACCTATTTTTATACTTTATTTAGTTTTAAAACAAGTAAGCGTTGTTTATAACTTAGTAAAAAAAGGCTAAGAAGGGTATAAAAAAGTTTACACATAATATAAAGCTTAAAAGTAAGAGTAAAAGATAAAAATACTTGCTAACAGTTAATAACATAAAACACTAGGTAGTAAATACTATAATTAGCAGTTTATAAAAACTTTATGTGTTAATCTCTACCTTCTTACTAGATTATTAAGCGCTAAGAAGGCATACATAGTAAATAAGCTATAGTAGTACATTAATACTACTTAATTTTACTTTTTATTCTAGCTAAAAATAATATAATTTATAAAGATCTACTTACTTAGTAGTATTAAATTAAGCGTAAGCACTATTTAATGCTATATAAGATAGCCTTTAATTTTCTATCTATCTCTACTATAAGCTACAAGTGTAAGAGGTGCTTTAGTAAAGCTAGAAAAATAATTATAATTAATTAGAACTAGCTATTACCTTCTATAATTAAAGCTCTATAGCTACAATACAACTATATTGCTAGTAGACTTGTTTACTTAGAGTTAAACAATCTCTATAACTATATTAGAAAGATTGTGTTAAAATTAAGCCTTTTAAAGCCTTTAGAAACACTAGGTACTGCAGTAACTGCACTAAATAGTAGCTTTTTTATTAATTAACTTAGCAGTAACTATTACTACTTATAAGGCTGTTTTAATTTACTCTTTCTGTAAAAATAAAACTCTATTGCTGTTAGTAACGCCTTAAAAACACTACTAACAGTAACAGTTACGTTCTAATAAACACTATGTTGGCTAGTCAACCAACTCAACACCCTGAAAACACCTTTAGAATTCGCCACTTCGCCACTCTATAGCCGGTGCGGGTCGGCCATCCTCCCTGCCTGCGGCGGCGATGTACCATACCACACCACACTTGGCACCTTTAACTATCACCCATCATGTTTATGCATCTCGACTTGTTCCACGCCAGCACTAGCTTTGGAGTGCATTTATATGGAATAATACGCATGGAAGGTCCCGCATGCTTTTTAATATGCCACCCGTTCAAAAATGCTCCTCGGCGAACGCAATTTGTGTTAAGCCAACTAAGGCTAAGGATTCAGTTCTAAACAAGCTGCAAGCTCGTATAAGTGGAATACTTTCTTCGCTGCCGCTGCGCAGCTCAACCGTCGAGTTAGAAACATATTTATGGACCGTATTTTCCCTACGCAGAAGGCTTGAAATGAGACTCCACGTAATCCCATTCATGGTCTTTATGTATATGATCCAAAAAGGGCTTGCACATGAAACAGTAATCAAAGTTTGGGCATGTGCGACAGTGGAAGCGTGGCCCGTAAATGTCCTGTTCGTATGAGATTTTTTCAACGCCTTTGAGCTATCCACTTACATGAAAACATCCATTGCACCAATAACTACCATGACGTATACCACGGAGTCGCACAGAATGCAGCCCTACGTCCAGCAGAGATCTGCAGGATGTGGACAACTCTTCCAACATCTTCTCGTTTCCATGGAAGATAGCGATAGAGATAGGACTCCACTGTCCCTCTGGCTGAGAGATACTGATGCATTCACTGCGTAGTCCTTCATTAATCAACCGCTCTATGACATTAGGGTTTCCCGCCCTACAAGCCCAATGAATGGGGCTCCAATATCCTCTCTGGAGCGAAGAAACAAGAACATTTTTTAGCACGGCATTAAGTATCTGTAATGAACCTCCTGAGGCAGCATAATGTAGCAGTCCTTCTCCTTTCTCATCCCTAGTGCTAGGATCAAGGCCTAAGCTAATAAGGTATTGGAAGGTGTCAAAGTGTCCGCCTCTCGAAGCAAGCTGAAGGGGAGTTCTACCATGATATTCTGTAAGAGATCGATTTGCGTGGTATTTATTGTAAGCCAACCGTAGTAGATCAGTGTATCCCTTGAAAGCAAACACGTGCAGAATGGAGCCGTAGTGACCATCAAGGGAGTTGACATCGGAAACGCTCTCGAGCAGCAACTTGAAAATCTCGAGATGGCCGTTGTTTGATGCTGACCTGAGTAGTAGCGTCCATCCGTCTTTATTGGCCCCTGTAACTTCCGCTCCCTTCTCAAGAAGCAGCTTGACGATTTCGAGATGGCCGTTGTACGAAGCAGAGTTGAGTGGCGTCCACGCGTTATTATTACCCCCTGCTACGTCTGCTCCGTTCTCGAGAAGCAGCTTGA